TTCTCTCACCGTCAGCGGATGTTTCCCGTTCTGGGCCAGGTTTACGTTGAAGGGCTACCTCACACCTGCCAGGTGGGGTGGAGTGAAAAGTTTGGAAAAGTAAAATCTCTGATGATTTGCTTTTGGTCCCGGTGAAGAGTGATGAATTGAAAGAGGTTCAGGGAGGGTGGGAGGCATGTAGTGTGTGGAGGGACCCTGCTTCAGGATCCTGGGAGAGGGAGGTTGTGCACCTAGTACTCTGCTCTCGGCTCCCACCAGCCCTAGGGAGACACTCCTGAGGAGGACACTCCACTCCCCGCCCATGCCCTGCGAACGTGTCATTATAGAAAAAGGCTTAATTAACAGGTCTGTGCCTATGTGGAGGGGCCTTGTTTCTCTAAGTCTAGTTCACACCAGGTACCAGAGGGGGCAGGTGGACGCCTCCAGCAGCCACAGCCAGCAATTCCAGAAGGCCCTCCCTGAGGACCGCTGCTCCTCTGCCTCCCTTTGCTCCCGTGGCACACCCCTTCCAAGAAGTATGTTAGTTCTTTACCCATACTACCATCGTGTTTCACTTTTACTCTTGCAATAGATACCACTGCATCTCTTCTGGAAACCCCACTTCCTCCTTTGGGGGTACCTTTTTCATTTTTTAAAATTTATTTATTTCATTGAGATGGAAGTCTCATTTTGTTGCCCAGGTAGGCCTTGAACTGAACTCCTGGGCTGAAAAGATCTTCCTGCCTCAGCAACCAGAGTAGCTGGGACTCCAGGCACGCACCCCAGCACACGGCTGGGAGTATGTTTATTTGGTTTCCCAGTCAGGGAACCTGAACCGTAAGCCCTTGCCTGTTCTTTGTCTGTTGTACCCCTCTTCGCCTGGGCATCCTGGTGAGATTGCATTCTTCAGAGTTGGGTGTCCTGGGGCTGTGCTAAAACACTTGATGTGCACTGTCTTTCACTGTCCCCTGATCTCTCAGAAGGAATAATAGTGGTAACCAGCTCCATGGGTTTTTGGGTGCAATAACATGTGAAGGTTTGCCTGAGCTCCTGGTACCTCGAAAGCAGTCATTGTTAGCTTTCATGTTGCTGTGGTGATCTCACTGAGCCTTCATAATCACCCATGAAGTACAGTTATTGCCCATTTTGCAGATGAGAAGATTCGGGTTTCAGAGACATTGTTACTTTGTGACACTTGCTGGTAAGTGGTGGAGCTGTGATGCAGACCTTTCTGACTCTGGAAACAGCGACCTTACCTTGCTGTCCTTCCCTAACTGCTCACACGGTCGCCCTCACCTTGGAGTTTTCTCATTCTACTAATGTAACGGTGGTAGAAAAACTAAATTAACACCATGAGTGTGCACTGTCCTAAGCCCTTGGCATACATCGTGGCAGCCCTTCCGTGTGGATTCAGAGGAGCTGGGCAGTGTGCCCAAGGCCACAGAGCCAGTGGGTCAAGGACTTGGGACTCACACCCAGGCAGTCTGACTGCAAAGCCTGCCCTGCTAATTCCTCTGTTAAGAAACGTCTTCCCAGTGTGGCAATTCCTCAGAGATTTAGAACCAGAAATACCCTTTGACCCAGCAATCCCATTAATGGGTATGTACCCAAAGGAATAGAAATCGTTCTATGATAAAGTTACATGCATTCATACATTTATTGCAGCATTTTTCTTAATAGCAAAGACTTGGAATCACCCCAAATGCCCATCAACAATAGACTGGATAAAGAAGTTGTGGTACATATACACCGTGGAATACTATGCAGCCATGAAAAGGAATTAGATCATGTCCTTTGCAGGGACGTGAATGAAGCTGGAAGCCATTATCCTCAGCAAACTAATGCAGAAACAGAAAACCAAACACTACATATTCTCACTTACAAGTATGAGCTGCAAAATGAAAACACATGGACCCAGGGAGGGGAACAACACACACTGGGTCCTGTTGGGGGAGGTGGGGGTTGGGGGACAGCATTAGGAAAAAGAGCTAATGCATGCTGGGCTTAATACACAGGTGAAGAAACGTCTTCCTTCCTTTGAGGCACTGGTTGTATTTCTCCTTTTCATACCAAGAGTAGTGTAACTGAGCACACCTCTCATTTCAGCTTGGCCTCAGCCCAGCCTGGGACTCCTCTGAATCCTCACTCCCATCTTCTAGTTCCCAACCTGTTCTCTTTTTGGTTTTCTGTGCTTACTGGTGTCTTCTAGACCTTACTGTCCATTTTATGATTTTTTTGAGTGCATTCTATTGATAAAGCTGCTTGAAACCCTTGCGCGACTGAGGACTGGAGTCAGTAATGAGAAACAAACCTGGTGGCCGTGGCAGAAACACACACAGCAGTGCAGCGTCCTCAGTGCCTGGCCCTGTCTCATCTCATAAGAGCTTCCCTTACACTGACCCTAGCAGTTGACAACGGCTGGGTCACCCGGCTGGCCGTCAGACAGTGCAGTCTGTGGCAGGCTATCTGTGTGTGTCGTGTGGCACTGCTGTCAGATGACAGATGGCGGGCTTTATTTATTCATTTACTTACTTACTTGAGGGACTTTTGTTTTCTTGAATGACCAGATTGTCCCAGAATGCCTTTAAAGCTGCTTCTGTGCCATGAGAACATCGTTGGGATAGCAGCTGAAGCGAATGGTCCTGGCAGTCCCCTGTAAGCCCGCATGGGTGAGATGTTGGATGGCCTGTCTTGGTGGGAAATTTAGTCACCATAATTAGGTGGCTTCACGTTGCATTCTTTGTCCCCACCCGTCTTCTCTTTTGTTGATCTGTTGGTCCAAGAGCTCTCAAAGTGAACAACTAGAAGTTGGTTTCTTGTATTTGAGCAGTTTTCCGGAATTCATTTATTTTGGAGATTTATTTGTCATGTCCACCAAATATAAAAAGGATCTGACTGTGGGGCGTGGGGCATCCAGCTAAGGGGAGCCATAAAGTGTTTAGTTATATTCATTCTTTTATCAAATAATCATGGAGTGCCTTCTTTGTGCTGAGCCTCTCTAGGTGCTCTAGGGGCAGCTGGAAACCAGTCAGGTGAAGCATTGGCCTTCATAGAGCTTGCAGTCTGCATAAGACACAGAGTCAGCAGGTGAACAGTCAGTGCAACAGTGCAATTCAGAGGGCTTAATTGCTGTGAAGAAGATAAAACAGGGCATGGAGAATAAGCAGTAGGCTTGGGAGCTGCTGTAGGGGCAGCCTCACTGAGCAGGTGGCATTGGTGGTGAGACCAAAAGATGAGCTGGGAACATAAGAGCAGGGCAGTGATATTGAGTGTCTGTTTACCAGCAGCCTCCTGGGTCACTTTTTGTGGGGATAAAAGGCTATTTAGTAAACAGTCATTATGGTGATTGTTGAATTACTATGTGTTTTCCTTCTGTGGCTGTCAATTTCATGGGGGGAGGTCTAGGTTCCTTTTTGCTCACTGTGGTTTCTCTTATAACTGGCATAGGGTCCACCTCATGACAAGTGCGAAATAAGTAGTGGGTGGGTGGGTGGATGGATGGATGGATAGGAAGATGGGTAGATGGATGAGTAGGTAGATAGATGGATGAGTGGATGGATGGGTGAAAGAGCAGGAAACCTAAAAGAAAAAAAAAGGCAATGGAGGACACTACAGAGTTAGTTTGGTTCCAGAGTGGGAGTCGTGAAGTCCTCAGTGACACACAAGATGAAAAGGCTAACCATAGAGGAGGTGGTGACTTGTGTCCTGGCATTTGGCAGTGGCCAGAGGGAAAACGAACCAGGGAACACAGGTAGGAAGGATGTGACCTGTGCTGTAAGAAACAACCAGAGGGAAAGAAGAACAGTTAGGGGGAGGAGAAGGGGCATAAACCAAGAAGTGCATTGTGCGCAGACAGGACAGATGTTTGTCCACGAAGTGTGTGAGTCAATGGCTGGAAGAGTCGCAGTGGCTGAAGGTGCCTGTCCACGATGGAAATGTGGTGGTTCCCTAGGGCACTGCTGAATCAGGCATTGGGGTGTGTACGGGCGAGAGTTTCATGAGTTAGGGGCCTTCAAGAAGGTGATAAGATTTAAATTCTTTCTGGGATTGGAAGCCTAGGATTGCCTTCTGCAGGGAAGTGCCATCTTTCCAAATGGGAGGATTTGAAATTGGCAGGAGATCTACTGGGAGAAGCAAATATATTGTTTGGAGCTTTGTTTTATTTCTCTGGAAATGACCGTATTGTATTTTTATGTAAATAATTTACAACAGTGTGGTGTTTGCAAAGGGGTGAAAAGCGAATACTCATAAATGAAGTTGAGACACCATATTGTGTTTTTACATCAACTGTGTATACTATTGCTTGCAGTGGGTCCAAAAACAAATGTGTATCCAAGAGGAGAGCTACCTGTTCATTTGAGCCTCTTTATTTAACCACTCTTACCTGCCCTTTGAGGCCCGATTTGAAGATGACCTTTTTTTGTGAAGATTTTGGAATCACTACAGCATCGTGTCACCCTCGCCAGCTCTGAGCATCTATAATATACTTGGGTAGCTTCCTGAGCATTTTTTACTTAGCATAATTTAGTCTGATTTATGGACATGTCATCCCAACCTGTTAATGAGCACAGGCAGCACATATTATTCACGTATATATTTTTCTTAAGGCTCTGCCCAGGGGAAGAGTACATAGAAGCCCTTAAACAAATGATTGGCCCTGCAGTAATCCCCCCCAAAAAAGTCAGGTTTCATTATTAACAGTGTTGTTTTGCATGTGTGCAAGGGTGGAAGGGAGTTGTTCTTAGTTGGCAACAGTCTGCCCACCACACTTGAGCATGTTCCCAAAGCCTGTGTGTCTGTTCCAGCCACCACAATTTGTTTTAAAGGCTCTGTGTTGAAAACCTCAGGCCTTAGAACCCAGAGAACTACAGTGTGTGGAGTGGTCCTTAATACTGATTTAAACTTAGATCATGCATGAGGTTTTGCAGCTTGCTGTGATCTTCGTTAGGTTTTGGTGTCATGAGTAGGGTGCACTTTCAGGTCAGTTACAGTGTTGACAATCTATGGATTTTCCTTTGCAGCACTCCTTTTTCTGCCGCTTGACAGAAGATAAGAAGTCAGAGAGATTCTTCAAGGTGTTTTATGACCGGATGAAGGTGGCCCAGCAAGAAATCAAAGCAACAGTGACAGTGAACACCAGTGACTTGGGAAATAAAAAGAAAGACGACGAGGTAGACAGGGATGCCCCATCACGGAAAAAAGGTAAATGTTCCTCAGTCTTCAGTCAGCTGGACTGTGAACAACAGAAGAGTCCTTGTTTTCCTTCATTGTTTTCATTACTTTTAGGCTCCAAAATGCGTTCTGATGAGAGCTTTCAGAAGAAAAGCCAGCCTGGTTAGGATGTAATTCTTCCTCAGTGACCTGAGCTGAAGCCCTGCTGCTCAGAAAGATCTTCCTGTTTAATAAAGAACATTTCTCTTGGTCAAGGTTAGGGTTTTATTGGCAAGGAATTCATGAATATTCTATTCCTGTGATTTCTATTTAATGTTAGAGAAAGTTGAGGGAAATACGTATTTTAAAACTGTGTGTCTGGCCGGGCGCGGTGGCTCAAGCCTGTAATCCCAGCACTTTGGGAGGCAGAGGCGGGTGGATCACGAGGTCAAGAGATCGAGACCATCCTGGTCAACATGGTGAAACCCTGTCTCTACTAAAAATACAAAAAATTAGCTGGGCATGGTGGCGTGTGCCTGTAATCCCAGCTACTCAGGAGGCTGAGGCAGGAGAATTGCCTGAACCCAGGAGGCGGAGGTTGCGGTGAGCCGAGATCGCGCCATTGAACTCCAGCCTGGGTAACAAGAGCGAAACTCCGTCTCAAAAAAAAAAAAAAAAAAAAAAAAAAACTGTGTGTCAGTCCGTTGTCAGATAATATTCTTTTGTTTCCTAAGGTATTGGAAAATTTATAAAGCTTTTTATCCAGTGTCACACAAGAAGAGATGTCGTGCTGGGGAGTGGGCACACCCACAAGTGTTGGAGTCAGATGGTCTTGAGGAAGTTCAGCACTCTGCCCCTCACATTTCAAAGTTAGAGCTGGGTTTCCTAACCACAGCACAAGTGACATTGGAGAATTCTTTGTTCTGGGGCTGTCTTGTGCACTGTAAGATATTTAGCAGCATACATGGCCTCTACCCAGTAGATGCCAGTGGCATACTCCTACTCCCAGAATGTCTCTAGATGTTGCCAATTGTCCCCTGGGTGGGTTGGGGGTAAAATCACCCCTGGTTGAAAACAGCTGGTCTAGAGCGGAGCTAAAGAGAAGAAAAAGAAGAATGATTACCTTTTACTAAGTGCTTACCAGGAATCAGGCAGTGTTCAACATTCTTTCTTAAAAACAAAATCTTGCTCTGTCTCACTTTGTTGCCCAGGCTGGAGTGCAGTGGCGTGATCATCGCCCACTGCAGCCTCAAACTCCTGGGCTCAAATGATCCTCCCACCTCAGCCTCCTGAGTAGCTGGGACTGCAAGTGTGCGCCACCGCATTGGCTAATGTTGAAAAAAAATTTTTTTTGTGGTGATGGAGTCTCACTAGGTTGCCCAAGCTGGTCTCAAACTTCTGGCCTCAAATGATCCTCTGGAGTAGCTGAGTTTATAGGCATGAGCCACTGTGCTGGACTCTTCAGAGTTCTTTACAATTCCACTCATTTCACACTCATGTCAACTCTGCAAGATAGATAAAATTAAGTTATCCCTATTTTACAAATGAGGGGACTGAGGCACAGAGATGGTAATTAAATCATTAGGGACATGCAGCTAGAAGGCAGTGGAGCCAGCATTTGAACCCAGCTCATCCGGCTGCAGAGTCATTGCCTTTAATTGTAATTCCGTGGTTACCTCACAGGGTTATTCCGAGGGTGAGATAAAATAACACACACAAAGTGCCTAGTCACAGTGCTTCGACAGTTACAAAAGGAGCAGTCGTCATTACAACAATAATTGTGATTAGCATTATGTTGAGCTTCTGAAGAACTTTCTTGAGATAGTATTCACGGATGCTCTCGCATTTTACAGGTGACGAAGCTGAGGCCCAGAGCCTTAGATTTGTGAGGTTGGCAGAGCCTGTACTAAGGCTTTTCCTCTAAAACGCACTGCACACGTAGATGAAATAGTAGAACCACAAGTAAGGTGGCAGGGCTTGGCCCACTTTTAATCATGTCTGACGACTTGAGAGCAGGTTGACTTCTTGGAGTGTTTTACCAACTTTGAAGATCTCTAGGAGATACAGGAACATAGGTTTCTGAGTGCCACCTCTGGAGTGGTGAACAGGAATCCTGAGGACTCTGCAGCCTTTCATGTCCTACGCTTGCTTTCTAGCTAAAGAGCCCCCGACACAGATAACAGAAGAGGTCCGGGATCAGCTGCTGGAGGCCTCTGCTGCCACCAGGAAAGCCTTCGCCACCTTCAGGAGGGAGGCCGACCCCGATGACCACTACCAGTCTGGGGAGGGCAGCCAGGCCACTGCCGACAAAACCAAGGATGACCTGGAGATGAGCGCGGTCATTACCATCATGCAGCCCATCCTCCGCTTCCTGCAGCTCCTGTGCGAAAACCACAACCGAGACCTGCAGGTGAGGGCCTGGGGCGGGGGCATGGAGGGAGTATGGGCAGGGCTGCCAAGGCCTGCCTTCCTCTAGTGGTTCAGCCCCTCTCAACTTGGGCCAGATTGTTTGAGCCAAGGATCCAGCGCGGTTCTTTTCTTTCTTTCTTTTTGAGATGGAATCTCACTGAGTCACCCAGGCTGGAGTCAATGGCGTGATCTCGCTTACTGTAACCTCCACCTCTTGGGTTCAAGTAATTTTCCTGCCTCAGCCTCCCGAGTAGCTGGGATTACAGGAATGCACTACCACAGCTAATTTTTGTATTTTTAGTAGAGGTGGGGTTTTATCATGTTGGCCAGGCTGGTCTCAAACTCCTGACCTCAAGTGATCCCCCAACCTTGGCCTCCCAAAGTGCTGGGATTACGGGGGTGAGCCATCACTCCTGGCCAGATCAACAAAGTTCTCTGATGCGAAAGTCTGGACAACTGATGTGTCTCTTTGTCTGTTTTCCCTGCTGTCTACGCAGAGCCAGAGATCACGTCTTATGCGCAAGCGTAGGTGCCGACCCCATATGTATTTGTTAAGTGTCTGTATGTGCCTGTTGGTATGTGTGTGTTGTAGCGTGTCAGCATTAGACACATCGAGGTGCTCAGGTAAAAATGGGATGGATGGGTAGTTAGAGAATTAAATATTTTAGATCTCCAAAACTGGAGACCTAGAAAGTGCTCATTAAATATTTGTTGGTTGAATGAAGAAAATGGTTGCCTTTCAGTGCTGTACAGAAAGCGGTGCTCAGAAGTCTTTGTTGAACTGATTATTCCAGAAATCCTTTGTTCATTTTATTGTTGCTTTTGTATGATAACAGTGGCCAAGGTTTGTTAGGCACGTAAGATACCCTGGATGCTAAGAGTTGCTTATATGATTATATTTTATTGATGAGAAAACTGAGGGCAGAGGACACAGGGAGTGCAGAACTAGGACTGGAGCCCAGGCAGTCTTACACTAGAGCTCCTGTTGTTGGCCAAATGCTAAGAGACAGAGGGTATATTTTCTCCCTTGCAAAGTTTCCCAGCAGCAGAGGCGATTTAGGAAGAGCCAAGAACGGAATGTAGAGATCCACTTCTTTCTTTCAAATGGGTCTGGGTCTGCGGAGGCCCCTCACTGCCCAAGAGAAATGTGCTGGAGTGCTGGGTCCCTTGCTTTTGCCTGGGTTTGTCGCCAACTGACCCAGGGAAACCACCCCCTCTTTGCCTCAATGGTGTGAGGGTGAACAAGGAAAGTGCATCTGAACACCTTCTTTACGATGAAGTGTTTCCTCCTAAGACACACCAGTCAGCCATGGTAGTTTTGTGTACTTGGATTATGAGAGTATGGAAAGGAAATAATGCTGGTCCAGATCTGGCCAGGGGAAGTCACAGCCTTTAAGTATCACCTGGCTGATCTTTCCCACCAGGTGACTTGGTGCCTGTCATACCTTGACTGTGGCTAGACAGTTGGTACTGCCACAGTGAACTGCTCTCACTTAAAACCTGCCACAGAATCTACGCCTGGGTTAGCTAAGAAACCAGATTGTTAATCAGTAAGGTGAACAGTGAAATGGAACCGAGAGACATCTGCAGTGTTAATACTTCCCACAGTTTGAATTTTCAATCAGGTTGAAGACCCCGAAATTTAAAAAAGCATCTCAGATCTGAGGTCATCACCTGGTCAGCTCTGACCCATATTGGAAAATGAAGGAATTTCACACAAACCCCACTGTTGGCCAGGCTGGACCCACAGTACCATGTGGTTTGCATGCTAGGGGGGCCACTCCAGATGAGGCTGGGTTCTTTCTTTTCTTTGGTACCTGGCCCATTTCAGCCACTGGTGCTCCCTACTTGATCCCTGTCATCATCTGAGTATGGGATCTCAGCAGTCAGTTTCCTTGGTTTTCTTGTCAGTTGCTCATACTTTCTTCTTTTGGGCTTAGAACACCTCAGCCCTAGATTTTCTTGCCAGGAATGTGCAGTCCAGTTGGGTAGAGCAATGCACTTATGCCCCAAAGGCTCAGGGTCTGGTTACCATCTCAGTGGTCTGGTTACCAGCCGGTAAGATGGTAACCTCTATCTGAAGGCCACTGTGTCCTTGACATTGTCCACGCTCCCCCTTCCATACCCCCACTGCTGGTAACAGGGGAGACAGGCGGAGGGGTAGTGAGTGACCCACAGAGGACTAAGCCGGAGCAGCTCAGCTTGACATCTCTGTGGATGGGAGTAGGGGCACCTCAATGCTGGGGACTGTTTCTGGGCAGAGCATGGTGATCAGTGCCCTGTACTGTCCCCCTTTGCAGGTGTCACTGGTCTCTGCCAGCCTTGGGCTCCACAGAGGAAGTAGGTTGAAATGATGCCCAGACATGTGTGTGTCATTTAATCAATATCAGCGAATCCCTGCTCTGTGCTCAACACCCGTGGTGACAAGACCTCACCCCTCCCTTCACAGAGCTGAGTCAAAGATAGCAGCCACTCAAGCTGAGTGGAACCAACCTTTCCTTAGAGGAGAAGAACTAACCCAGGGCAGGTCCCAGAAGGCCTCTCAGAGGAGCTGGCATCTGCTGAGTTTTCAGTTATGAAACCCAAGACTGCCTGGAGTAGAATCCCTGCATGAGTGGCAGAGGGGCCCTGCTAGGGTGCTCGTTCCCAAGCTGGGCCCTGATGGCGCAGGCTGGCTCTGCTTTCCTTCTCTCCCTGACCTTCCCTCCTTCGCCCACACACCCACTTCCTTCCACGGTGACATTGGACTAAGGCTTTAATTGCACAGGGTCATCATTTCTTGTTTGGAAGTCCTCAGAGTTTTAGTTTCATACCTTAGGTTTCTGCAGAATTCTCCTTTGAGTCAGTGTCCTGAGAACCCGATGGACAGAAGCACCTTTTAATGAAATCCTTCCAAAACTTGGTTCTCCAGTGCATTGCTCTGTGGGAAAGAGTGCCACGGAGTGTTAGGGTGTATAGTATATTTTAACATTTCTAACATTTAAAAAAAAAAAAGACCTAGCAGCATAGTATTTGAAGGTATCATAAAGATCATCGGATTCACTTTTTTTAAACTTTATTGCGAGGGGCCACAGAATCCTTTGTTTGAATAACTTATGCAGAAATATACTAAATACATCAGAGGAGAGCAAAGCTGCTCTATTCAAAGTGGAAACTAGAGTGCTCCCTCACCTACGAGACCCCTGGGATGGTGGGGAGGAATTGCAGAGACTTCCCAGGGCTCTGCAGGGCCCAGTTAGAAGCCCATGATCTGGACCAGTGGTTCACAAGGTTGGAGGTTAGAATCATCCTTAAAAACTCCTGCAAAGTCACTCTCTCAGGTGGTGACTTGCTCCAATGAAATTATTGTGTGTAGAAATCAGCTTCTCCAAAGAATGATTTTAAGCAGGACTCAGCCACTCTGAGTGCCATTCTGTGGCAATAACCTGGAACAGAGGGTGGGTCACTGGGTCAGGGTTTCCTCGTGGATCGGAGGAAAGGAGAAGGCATTCTCATGAGAGAGTGTTCGGCTTCCTGGTGCAAAGCAGCTCAGAGTCAGTGCAGAGGGAGAAGGAATCCAGCGTTTTGCAGCAGCACCCTCTGGGCTTGTGCCCGGAGTTGCTTGTCATATTTATAACCTTAACTTTCCTGTTGGTAAATGTTCAGAAGAGATAAAGTCACCAAGTCTCACTTTGCCAAACAGGCAGTTGCTGCTTTAAGCAAACCTTGTTTACAGGGGTCAAAAGTGTGATGGGGAAACCGCTCTTCAGTCAGTTGGCGTGTGTTTGAGGGCCCTCCCCTGAGAAGCTGGCTTTGCTCTTCCCCTGGGTTAATGAATGCAGGTCCTGATCTCTTTCCACCAAAGTCTGCCTAAGCTCACACTTGAAGTCCTCCATTTCCTTAATCCACCCATCTCAACTTGGTCCCAGGCCCTCCAAGGAAGACCACAAAAAGAGCAAGATCTCTCCAGACTCGACAAGGCAGGGTGGTGCATGCTGAAGGCGACTTCTCTTCTCTTAGAGAAAATAGATCTGAGTCAGGGAGAGAGAAATTCCGTCCAGACACTCCGAAAGCCTTGAGAGATGGGATAGGCTTCCAGGAATGGGCAGCCACTGTCTATATGGGGAGTTTGAAACACTTGGGCCCAGCTAGCCTTGAGGACTTCCCGGTCCTCTGCCCTCCATTCATTTTATTTAATTCAGATTATTTCAACCAGTGTTGACAAAGCACGTGGTAGGTGCCAGTCCCTGTGCCAGCTGTTGGGCACCCAGCACTGTCAACGTGGTCCTTGGTAAGCTGATCGGCCCTTCTCTACACACATCACAAGGGTGAGGAGAGCTGGGAGGGGCAACTTGTGGTGCTCCCATCTCACTGGAGTGGGGCTCAGGGGTTGGAAGAGCTTCCTAGAAGTGACTTTAGACCATATCCTGAAGGAAGAGGAGTCTTTTGGGGTGGAGGCCCTGAGAGCAACAGGCAGGGGGCATTGCCTGGTGGGAGCCTGGAGGCCAGGCAGAGAATGAAGAGTGCTTGAAGAGTGAGAGGAGTTTATTGGGAGCAGTAACAGAAGTTTGAGAGACAGATGGGCCAGGAGAGCCTTGCTGTGAATTTCAGCCATGGGCAGCCAGGCCCTCTCCAGAGTTGCCCCGAACACTCCTCCACCGCCCCTGCACAGAGAGTGGCTGAGCCAAGCCCTCTAACAGGTAGTGTCTTCCCTGAGGAGCTGGAGCAAGGCAGAAATGGCTGTGAAATCCTCCTCTGGTTTCCCTTAGAAAAACACTCAGCCCACACAGTCCCAAATCATCTGTTCTTCCTCCACCTCCCACCTGGACCTGGACGTGTTATGGAGCAAAAGGGATTTGGGTTAAGTTGTAGTGGGGAGAAAAGAGCTGGTTAGTTTGGTGATGAGTCAAGCATTGAACTTGGTTACCAGCTCTTAACCTGTGCATTTACAAATGTTTCAATTATACAAGGAATGTGTGGATATATTCTTTTTAGAAAGACTCAAATGAAAATAAGCATTTAGTTCTCAGAGTTGCCTCTCTTTCATCCATAGAGAACTGGTTGTTGGTTTAGACTGTATCCTCAAGTCCTTTTTCTATATATTCGAATGGGAACATTTGTTACATATTAATCTGTATGCCTTTTTTAAAAAACTTGACAGTGTGTCCTAGAGATCTTTCCATATTGGCACATATGGATCTACTTGGTGTTTCTAATTTATAATATTGAATGATGCAGACATACTGTAACTTATTTACTCCTCAGTTGGTGTGCAGTTAGGTTGTTTCCAGTTCTTCACTGTCACAAACAGCACTATAGTGAACATTCAATATATACTTTGTGAGTATAAGTGAATACTTCATAGAAGTGGAAATTACTAAGGCAAAGATCATGTCCATTTTATCTTTTTGTATCGCCCCCGCCCCTTTTTTTTTTTTTTGAGACGGAGTTTCGCTGTTGTTACCCAGGCTGGAGTGCAATGGCGCAATCTCGGCCCACCGCAACCTCCGCCTTCTGGGTTCAGGCAATTCTCCTGCCTCAGCCTCCTGAGTAGCTGGGTTTACAGGCACGCGCCACCATGCCCAGCTAATTTTTTGTATTTTTAGTAGAGACGGGGTTTCACCATGTTGACCAGGATGGTCTCGATCTCTTGACCTCGTGATCCACCCGCCTCGGCCTCCCACAGTGCTGGGATTACAGGCTTGAGCCACCGTGCCCGGCCTATTGCCCCTTTTTTTACAGTAAGCATGTCACTTTTGTAACTGAGAGAAAGAACATACACGGTTAATTTTTGCTGCTTTTTAAGAACAGATTACTGGAGTCTCTGACAAAAATCTCCTCATTAAAATACTCCATTTCCCAAGCTGGTTGAATGTGGCTTTTTAAATTTTGTTGAGGAAGTGTCTTGCTCCTGTCTCTGTCTCCTGTTCACATTTGGAGTTCACCTGGAAAATACCTGCTCAGGCACATGCACACACACACATTTACTCACTCTCACTCTTTCCCTTAATAATGGAAATGGCCAGACAAGGTATCCAGGTTCCCTCCGCATGGCACTGGGAGTAAGCTGGCCGATCATACCCCCATTTTATGGTGAACCTTCCCCAGTGCTGGGCTCCGGGCATTCAGCACTCAGACCACACCGTCATCTTTAAACAAAACCACTGCCCTTGGAAGTGTCAGATCCCTCTGAACTTAATACCTGATGGAAGCTGGAGTGGGCAGGAGTAAGGAAGGGGTGAGAAGTGAATGGAGAAATGAGGACTCAGAAAGATTATGGGAGTCAGCTGCACTGCATTCCATGTACTGGCGCCTTGGAGAGCAGATTGCAGTGCTGAGGGCCACTGCCATAGACCAAGTCCCTGGGTTTACCATCATGGTGCTGCGGGGCACACTGACTTCCGTGCTGTCCCACGCGGCATCTCTCTGTATAATTACCAACCTCTTAGAGGTTATCAATATGGCAGGATGAATAACGTTCCCCTCTTTCCTGTACCTTTGCTCCCCGGACCTGGGGAATACCCAATTGCAGAACTTCCTCCGTTGCCAAAATAACAAGACCAACTACAATTTGGTATGTGAGACCCTGCAGTTTCTGGACTGTATTTGTGGAAGCACAACTGGAGGCCTTGGTCTTCTGGGCTTGTATATAAATGAAAAGAACGTAGCACTTATCAACCAAACCCTGGAAAGTCTGACTGAATACTGTCAAGGACCTTGCCATGAGAACCAGGTAATTAAATTTCTATTTTGGGATGGGCCGGGGGAAGAAGTGTCCCATTTTGGAAATGTTGACAGAGACTAGTTCAGAAATCGTGAAGCCTGTGCCTTTTGGCCTAGGGAGTCGGGAGGACTGGAGGCCATTTTCTAGCAGTTGAGAAATAGCCATAGTGTTTCATACTTGAGAACTTGCCTAATGAAGCGCATTGGAGGGGCAGTCCGTGGTCTCTTTGCTTGGCTATGTTTGGCTTCATTTGATTTGGTTTGAATGTCCAACTGTATCACTTGATTTCTAGGAGTAGGCAATAAAGTGGGAGTGAAATGAGAACCAAAAGACGGCGATCTGTTTTAAATACTAGGGGATTTCAAAGAGTGACTACTTGAAAGGGCTTTAAGCCTAGCTAGAGAGAAGAAAATTACTGCACATGAGACAGCTTGAAAGTAATATAAGGACATTTATAATTGAGATTTAAACTTCATGGACATTCAGGGAAAAGAAAAACAAGAGTCTTGACTTTGGTCTCTCACAGAAGTATATTTTGGGAGTACAACTCAAAAACTTCTTGTCTTGAGTAGAGTCATTGCTTATACATGGCATCTTAAGGATTTTGTGAGTTTTTGCATCGGTGCTAGGATGAGTATGATTTTTAACCCCAAATTATAGCTGGAGAGGAATGACCAAGGCTTCCAATGGTCAGGGCTAAACCCAGCAGCCAGGGAAGGTGACTTGTGTGACTTGGGGAGCCAGGCCCTTCATTCAGAGGAGAACGGTTTATGAGAGACAACTCATTGTCTATTAAAAACCTGGTCTCAAGTTGTCTGTGAATGTGAGGATAGCATTTTGTGAGATGCACTTTCTTCTCCCGGTTCCCTCATGAAGCAGATGGTGTAGTCCTAGTTAAAATGAAAAGGAACAAAAAAATACAACAGGCTTGGGGAAAGGCTTTATTTGACATCGAAGTGAATTTCCTTATTACCTCAGGTTTGCTTCTCTGCCAAATAGAGGCCTGTTGAAAGGAACAGATCGGAGTGGATTGTGCTGCAAACGGAGATGTTACCTGGTGGGCAGATGATTAATTTTGATATTGTGTGCATTAAACAGGAAACTTGCTTTCCAAGCTTAAGCCTTAAGCTAAAGTACAAAATACGAAAAGAGAGAATGGAACACACCTTGAAAGGGGAAAAAGGGTTCAGAACCCAGTATCAGTCATACACCATAATTTCCTTTAAGAACAAAAGCCGACCGTGCTGCATGATTTGGATTAGACACGACCAATTTATCAGTTACAGTGCATGGGGACTTTCCTACTGTTTACTGTTAATTCTGAAACTAGAGATTTTCATCTGTCTTTTATTCTTACCACTTTCTCACGGAAAATTTGCAGCTCTCCCCTAGAGACATTACTGGGAGTGGTAAGCATTGTGTTGAAATAGCAGTTCAGCCTGTTGGCCTTTGACGTCTGATTTATGACCAGCGTTTGTGTAAATGTCTGTGTGTGTCTTTGCTCAGAACTGCATAGCCACCCATGAATCCAATGGCATTGACATCATCACAGCCCTGATCCTCAATGATATCAATCCTTTGGGAAAGAAGAGGATGGACCTTGTGTTAGAACTGAAGGCAAGTAGAAATTAAAAGCGAAAGGCAGTCGTTTGGAAATGGTCACTTTCGTGTTTTGCCTTGGCACAGGCACATGGTCAATTAGTCATGAGACTAAATATTACGGATAGTTCTTTTAAACTAAATGAATGGCCCAAGTTGCTAGTTCTGACTACGATGCAGAACTTCATCCTTCCTCTTCCACATAAGGGTCTCAGGAGAAGATAGGAGCTTCTTAACTATTAGGTCACACAGAATGAAGATTCCCTGCTCAAAGCTGAGAAATTCCAACAGCATCAAGTATTAAACGTCTTGGTTCTGAAAGTCACAAACAGGGAAACAACGGAAACACCATTCCCTCTATGGCTTCTGATCTTTCCCCATTCAAGGGAAAAGAGCCAGTTGAAGAATAGTATAACTAAGCCTATCTAGGACTGAAAAAAAAAACAACCCAAACATCTATTTTTACTTAATCAAAGGAATACATTTTCCTCTTCTGTCACTGATTTAGCAGAAGAGTGGTTAATAATGTTGATTTAAAATAAGGAAAATTACACAGACCAAAAATGTGCCTGTAGGCCTCTGCATAGTGTCTCTGAATTGTATACAAATGCGGGACTGCAGGTGACTGACGGGAAGCCACGCCAATGTTCAGACTCCCTGTTACTCAAACAGCTTAACAGAGTGACAATTGTGACTTCTAGGTGCTAAGCCTGCAGCATTTCCAAGCTGGCCTTTTGGATATTTGAGAAACTGATATACCGATCCTGATGCTGACTTCTTAAGTATACCCAGAAAACCCTCCTTTCTATGTAGGGGCTCCAAAGTTTCTCCAATAATCCCATGATTCAGTTTTAACAATTGAACTTGCAAGCCTCAGGTTTCTAAAGCGCATTTCAAAACATATTAGCCTTTCTGGATACATTTCCTTTTTAACTGTTCCATGTCAGGGCATGTTGAGATTTGTCCTCTATCTGCCCATCTGCAGCAGCGAGCACTTCATCATTATCATGAAAGAGCCTAGAACTACAGGGTTTTGGCTGAAAAGCTGAGGTGTATATTTATTCCATGAGGGATGCCATAGGAAAGGTCATTAGGGAAGATGGGAATGCAGAAACCTGTGGGAATGGCAGTTATTTTTTCTTTACTGTTTAGAACTGAGAGTTCACACTAATAGTCGATTTGGGTGTGTGGTTTAAATGGACTTTTTTCTGCTGTTTTTAACTCCTTTTGACAAGTTGTGTTTTAGACTGAATTTGAACATCATTCAAGCTTGTGTACCTGGCTACTATTTATCAGAAAGTCCAAAATAAACAGAAGTTCATGTGCTCCTGGTCAGCATTTTAGTGACTTTTTCAACTAATCCAGTGATCTATTATGGATGATTATAGGAATATGTGCCCTGTGACAGCACAGTACCCTGACTCAACTGCTGTGACCTAAGCTAGGGGAAGATATAAGGCCTCTCCCACTGTCCAAAAAAAAAAAAAAAACACCCTGCCAACTTTCAAGTTGTGTACATAAAGAAGCATACAAATTGTCGTAGACCCAGGGCCTGAAACGAAGTCAAGCCAAGAAGTACAGGATGTGGGGTGTGAACATGGGTATTTTTGATGTGATGGGAAATTATGGCTTGGCCTGCATACAGTGTTCCTTTGGGTCACATTTGCTAACAGTGTCGGATGTACTCATTATATTAGGGGTTATGAGAACTAATAGAAATATTTTAAGACAGGAAAGAATTGCCTCGATTACCTGTCATCTCTGGCCTGCAAGGCCAAATCACAGTTTGTCACCACACCTGCCCCAAAGGCAGCCAGGCCTATGTAGTAGCAGCCTCTTCCCGACCACTGTCATCATGAGGCTGAGAATGTATCCATAAGCACCGACGTGTAAATTCCCAGTTTCTGCTAGGACTTGTACGAGCAAACATTAGGGCATAACACACCTACCCTAATAAATATGTGCCTCTTTGTCCCAAATCAGATTCCGCCTACATATCTGGGGTCTGAAGGGGCACGTTCTCTGCCTGGGTGAGATGGCTTTTGATGTACTGACCCAGGGCTTCCTCGTGGGGTGAAATGTTCATCTGTTTAGCCAGGATGTCTCCCATGTGTCAGTTGGCACCAGCGCTCAGGCGGGGCCCCCAAGCAGCCCCTTCACATTTCCTCTCCCTTTGTTTCTCCAATTAGAACAATGCCTCGAAGTTGCTTCTGGCCATCATGGAAAGCAGGCACGACAGTGAAAATGCAGAGAGGATCCTTTATAACATGAGGCCCAAGGAACTGGTGAGTCGGGTGACCGTTCTGACAGTAGCACCAAGGAGCATTAAAACGATATTTGGGACGGAGCAGAGGATCTGCTTCCTGGAGCTTTCTTGAAAGTTCCCAAAGTCAGAAGTATAAAGGGAACATTTAATTTAGGCCTCTGAGTGAGTAGAGAAGTGAAATATTTTGGCTGGTGCAGAAGTAATTGTGGTTTTTGCTATTACTTTCAATGGCAAAAGTAATCAGAGTTTTGCCATTGGAAGTAATGGCAAAAAAACGTGGTTCCTTTTGCACCAACCTGTATGACATTGTATACTCGCTATTTTACCCTCTCCCTTTGGCACGATCCACATGGAGAAAGCTCCCTCCTTGCTTTTCCCTCATGGGGGACAGTGTGGTTACAGAAGCTAGCAGACCTGAATTCAAGTCCATAGCTCTGCCTGTTTTGCTGTGTTACCTTAGGCAGCCACCTGGACCTCTCTGAGCTGCACTTTCCTGATCTGTGAAAGGATGATAATAATAATGTTGCGTAGCCTAGACGGCTGCTTTGAAGACTAGGTGGGAAGATGCATGTCAAGCCCTAGGACAGTGCCCAGCACCTGATACACCTTTAGTGAACGGAAGTTCCTTTTCCTCTCTTTCCTCATTTGCTGCTGGTATTTGAGCCATATCTTTGTCCAGTGCTGAAGAATTCATGTCTCTTCCTGGTGCCAAGAGTCTGGGCTACAGAAGTGTTTTTTGGTTGCTGATGTTTTTTCCTTTCTTTTGTTGTTGTTTCTTTTAAAGAAAACACGACCTGGTTTATTTTTGAGGGGTGATAGTCACAATTGGCCGTGACTCCAGGTTGGGAGAGTGTTACAGACTGTGAGACGAGCAGCTATCAGAGACGGTGACATGAGTTAAGGGCACAGCTCTCTATTTGGACTTCTTTCCATGCAAATAAACTGTAACTGACAGACTTAAATGAGGGCACCAAAACATCTCTGCCTCCTGGTGACCTGAAAGTGCACTTGGGGGCCAGGCAGAAGTCTCTTTATGTACTCTTTTAAATAAAGTTAAGAGCAGCCCAGTTCTTTGATCTCTGAGGTCAGGGAGTGAGTTCTCAGCCTGAGATGGAAGGCCTCTCTCAGTTTACATAACAAGCTTATGTAACTGGGGGTCACTGGGGAGGCGAGGCTTGTCGTTCTTGAGTAGGGATGGAACGACTATGCAGGGACCCCATTCCGCTTCCCAGGATCAAGAATGTGCCCAGCTCTCTGACCTGTCTCAGGTGGGGAGAATGTCAACACCCAGGGCCGTGGCTGCCACTGGCTCCTGAGCAGCCCCCTGGTGGTTGGAGAACATCATTCTGGCTCATAGGAAGAGTCAGGCTTCCTGGAACAAACACTGTTCTAAGAATCCAAATAGAACACATGTGTTCATGCGTGTGTGCATACATACGTGTCTATGCTCCAGCCCCCAAATCGGGTGCAACATGTTGTCTGCTCGATTTGGTATTCAAGAGAGAACTGGCAGGGGAACAAGCTCAGGGAGGCTGGCTCTCTTGTCTACACCATTATTTGCAGGGCCTGACTTGGTGTCAGTACTGAAATGTGTGGCCTTTGGTATTGGATAATGACAAATAATTCAGGGGAATGACCTTGTGACAATGGGAGAGGCAGAAATGCCCTCTGAATCATCAAAGAAGATGATTAATTTGTAGTACAAATTAGAGATTAAAAGTATTTTCCTCTTCTTCTTTGAATGATTCAGTCTTGACTGTTGTGTTTGATAAATATTGGCCACACCCTCCATTTTCCTGGGCATTGCGGAGGGTACTAGGGGAAGGATTCATTCACATATGAGCAGACCTAGTCCCTGCTTTCAAGAAACTGAGACGGAAACTTGAGGGAATGGTAAGACAGTTACAGAAATGCTCTGAGGAATGTGCTCAAACCGTGAGATGAGCCAAGCGCATGGTCCTGCGAGGACCGAGTCATGCAGCTGTAAAGGATAATAGGGCCAAGTCGCAGCTCACTAGCTGTGACTTTGGGAATGTCCTTTTATCTCCTTGACTCTGTTTCCTCATCCACTAAAAAATAAATAAATAAATGAGGTGGGTGCAGTAGCTCACACCTGTAATTGCAGCACTTTGGGAGGCTGAGGTGGGAACAAGTCCAGGAGTTCAAGACCAGCCTGGGCAACATAGTGAGACCCTGTGTTTACAAAAAATGAAGCATTAGCCAGGTGTGGTGGTGCACCTGTAGTTCCAGCTACTTGGGAGGATGAGGCAGGGGGATCACTTGAGCCTGGGAGGTCAAGGCTACAGTGAGCCATGATTGCACCACTGCACTCCTGCCTGGGTGACAGAGCAAGACCCTGTCTCAAAAAAAAAAAAAAACAAAAAAACAAAAGGGAGAATCTTGGATACCTTATAAATGTTTGTAAGCATTACATTTTTTGAAAGAATATTAAACTCCTAGACACAGCCCTTGGCACATAGTAAGTACTCAGTTGGTAATACTGGTTCATGCTGTTATTTTCATTTGGAGTAGGCTGTGGGGGACCGGGAAAATTTGGAAAATCAGAAAATAGTTTCACCAGCTATTCCTAAATATGAATAGATTTCTTATTAAGTTTTCCCGAAATGGCAAAGGGTTGGGAGTGGGGAGAGTTGGTGGGAGGAAATGCGGAGATAGGAAAAGTCTGGCTTCCAGCCTACACTCATATCACATTTTATCGTTTCAAGGCACTTGAAAGCCATTGCTCCCTTCCAAAGAAGAGGGGCATTAACCAGCCACAGCATGTGTCTTGGCCTAAGTAGAGCGAATGAGTTCCATTTCTCAGCGGGAGAGGAGGATTGGTGCGGACTACCTGTGCCAGTGCTGTGAGGGATTCTGAGGCTGTGTCCCAGCCTGATAGGAGAGAGTGCTGAGCAGCCTCTGCCCTGAGAGGGGAGGCAGCCAGCGTGGGTGCTGTCCACCAGTCCTGTGCAGGTCTTGCTTGAGACAGGAGTTGTGCTTTCTTGGTTCTTCTTGCAGGTGGAAGTGATCAAGAAAGCCTACATGCAAGGTGAAGTGGAATTTGAGGATGGAGAAAATGGCGAGGATGGAGCATCCCCCAGGAATGTGGGGCACAACATCTACATATTAGCTCACCAGGTATGAGCTCTCCTGTGCCTCCTGCAGACGCTGCTTCCCTACAGGTCCAAAATTCCAAGCTGGAGGGTGCCCAGTGTTGCTTTTCCTTTATTACTTTAACCTAGGACTGTCTGTACTCATGAGACTGTGGCTCACAGGTGCTTGTGGCAACCTGACCCAATGCGCAGAGTTCCAGGACGTTTCAGTTTTTCCAGTGATAGGGTCATGTAGTCGGAAATCCCCATGTTTCTTAAAAGCGTTCACCCCCAAGCAGTGACACTTGGATGGTTTATGACTTTGTCTGGAGACAGTTGAAAGGAGTCTTAGGCTTTTATAAATATTGATGAGCCTGTCTTAACAATCTAAAGAAATAAACTTCAGCTTCCTAGCGTATTGGATTTGGAAATCTGTGGGAACTTGTCCTTATGACTTCCTTTTGTTTCCCTTTTTGGGGATAGGCAATACTTTATGCCCTGGCACCAAAATGCCATGTTTCATAATTCTCTTTCTAAGCGGCTGGGTGTTTGAAGAGACTCTCTTTTTGGATGCTGATGTGCCTTGAGCTTTCGGTAGGTAGGGGCAGGCTGTAACTCTGCTGGGGCCTTGTGATTCCTGTCCTTTTCACCTCTTTTAAACTCAGGTATCGGAACCAGACACACAACATTGATGATATTGGGCCCGAGGGTGGTGGGTCCCTGCTACTGCGCATTGGCTAAAGAATTTCAAACAGTCTCCTGCCCCTTTTCCCTTCCGTGACCACATATGCCACCGAGAAGGTTTCTGAACATTCCGAATCGAGGCTCCCTGGGCTACACAGAAAACCCCGTCTCCCTCCTGCCTGGCTAATGACATTGGGGGCAAGTGGAACCATGTGTGGGCATGAGCGTTCCACGCTATTCTACCAAGTTCCCAAAACAGCGCCTGTGCACAGCGTGCCTTGATGGGAGGGAGCAAGCCTCGTGGCAACTTTGCCCTTCAGCTTGCTGCTGGTTATTATGCATTTTTTAATACCTAGCATTAGGAAGGAGCTTCTGGGTCCCCGTTGTGAAGAGACACGAACCGCCTGTATCTCTGTCCCTGTGTTCTAGTTGGCCCGGCATAACAAAGAACTTCAGAGCATGCTGAAACCTGGTGGCCAAGTGGATGGAGATGAAGCTCTGGAGTTTTATGCCAAGCACACAGCACAGATAGAGGTAAACGCTGAGTAAACTCAGGGCACGGGGCTGTGTTAAGGTTATTAGTGTGCGACGCCCTGCTCTGGGGCTGGCATGCATTCGTTCATCTGAGCAATAGAAATGTGAGTGCGTACTGTGTACTAGGTCCTGGGCTGGGTGCTGGACATCCCACCATGGCCAGGACAGTCATTATTGCTCCTTGTGGTCCAGTGGGGAAGAGGACACTGAGTCCCCTCTCATTCATCACGAATTCACAAGGACAGGTGGGAGACCTCATAAGAAAGTCTGGCAGAGAGACCTGCTGGAGTGGTGGTCACAGAGGCCTGTTCTGAAGAATTGGCATCTAAACCCAGACCCTAAAGAACAGAGGGATGAAACAGGTAGAGACTAGCAAGAGGAGCTTTTCAGACTTGGGGAATAATGGCAAGCGAAAGCCCAGAGGTGGGAAGATTCTAGGTGATCTGGAGGGGCTAAGCACGGCCTCAAGTCTCAGGGCCAGGGTTCAGTGCAGAGGGAGATCCGAAGGGAAAGGCGGGTAGCCCCAATCTTGCAGAGTCCTGTCAGCCATCCTTATGAGAAGTCTGGGCTGCACTCCCAGAGCAATGGGGACCATTGGAGAGTTTTCCCCAGGAAGGCATTACAATCAGATCTGTGTTTTAAAAAAAAGTATCATGTGGCTGGGCACAGTGGCTCATACCTGTAATACCAGCACTTTGGGAGGTCGAGGGGGTCGGGCCACTTGAGGTTAGAAGTTTGAGACCAGCCTGGCCAACATGACAAAACCCCAAAAATTACCTGGGCATGGTGGCACACATGCCCAGCTACTCGGGAAGTAATTCCAGCTACTCGGGAAACTGAGGCACAAGAATGGCTTGAGCCTAGGAGGCAGAGGTTGCAGTGAGCCGAAATAGCACCATTACACTCTAGCCTGGGTGACAGAGCGAGACTCCGTCTCAAAAAAAAAAAAAAAAAAAAAAGTCATGATGCATTGTGAGTGTGGAGATGGCCGTAATGTGAAAGGGGAGACTCCACCTGATCTAGAGAATGCTAAAATTACAGAAGCAGGTGCTGAGCAGCCGTAAGTTAAAAGGAAGACAAGCTGAAGCCGCACATGTTGCTGTTGTATTGAAAATGTGACTTGAGTTCTTTCAATAAAGCTTTACAGTTTTCTCTGGGGGAAAGAAAAAAAAATGAAGCCTCTGCAAAGTCAGTAACATATCTCCATTTTGCAAATGGGGTGCTACGAAATAAGGCTCAGAGAGGCTGTGTCACTTGCCCAGCCACCAGTGGCAGAGCTGGAATTTTCATCCTGGTCTGTCTGGTCGCCGAGGCTGTGGGTGCATTTGTGCCTGCCCTGTCTTTTAGTGTCCAAGAGAACACAGACCTCTCTCTATAGGCTTTGGGCAGGAAGGAATAATGCGCTTTGTTTTGCTAATGAGGAAATGCACAAGTTCAATATCAGTGTTGGAACAAAGATTTTAAAGAACAGACAAACTCTTTTCGGCAATATGAAATGTTTGTGATGGAGACTTTTCAAGAATGTGTTCTGACCTGGTGTCTCAGGTCGCTGGGCTATCCTAATAAAACACGTCATTTCACTGATAAGCCAACCATGCCAGCATATGTGAGAAAATATCCTTGATTTATCATGAATACCTAGGAGCTTGTCCAAAAGGCCAGCTCTGTCCTCTAGAGCCCTTAAAAGGTGGGCTTTAGGTGTCTGTGATACAGAATTTCAGAGGAGAAAAGGACCTTAGAGATTATCTCATTGAGCTCCGTGGCTCATTGGGGAGAAGACTGAAACTTGATTAAGAGGTGTCAACAAGGTCACCTAGCTGTTTAGTGGTGGTAGAAGGACTGGAATATGCTCTCCTGACTCCAAATTCTAAATCTACTGAGAAAGAGGTAGGAACAGATCTTAAATGGTAAAGAGAAGTGGCCAGGCATGCCGTAGCTCTCAAATCCCGCCCTTGGCTGGCTACCCATCTCTTCAGCTTTCGCTAGGGAGTGATCAGTGCAAAGCCAGGGACACTTTGTTACTACATGGTGCTTTCCATGCAGACCCAGTGTCTTCACTCCTGTGAATTAGGCTGGGTAGCCCTGGAGTCTGGAACTCAGTTCTTGCCAGGAAACCTCCTTGTCTATTCCTCCTTTCCCTCCTGGACGCAGACGCACACCTCGGATCATCTTCCTTCAGTGGAAGGAAGCACCTGTCCATTGCCCACTTGACCGTGTGAAGCAGGCAGGCTCTTGGTAGCAGGAGATGACAGAGGTGATCCCTGACTCTTGTGTACACCAAGATCGCTGGGGGAGCTGCTTGTGTGCAGGTTCTGGTAACTGACCCCCACACCACAATTCCAGTTAAATGAGGTTGGGTAACCAGCCTGATCTCCACGTAGATTTGGGAACCACTTGTCTAAAGACCACACCCCCCCAGAATTTACGGAGGCAGGACTGTGGAAACCTGTCTCACCTCTAAGAGAGTTTCCCACTACAACTTGACCTGAATCACCTCTCTTGCTGCATCAGGGAACAAAGGTTTTGGGAGAGCTAGAACTAGCTCTTCTTGTAGAGCATGTTGTTTCCTCACCTGATACACCTGGGCCTCACCTGACTTCTCCAGCCTCTGAGAAAGAAGAAAGAGAAGTTTGTGCCTCTACTGTACTGTAACCCATAGCCCTTTTGAAATTACTACCTCCCAGGACTGTGACACAATCAAGTGTGCTAGAATTTGAACAATTCAGACCAGAGTACCTCCTCTCTGGGGACAGAGTGAGTCTAGGAAGGGCATGAAGGAAACTTGCAAGGTGTCCACCCCTGGGTCCCAAACACAGCCAGCATAAAGAACAGTGAGTGCTGCCCCAGAGTTAAATAGGCATGTTGGTTCATGTATTGTACATTTTAGATGCTTTGACAAGAGGTAGGAGGTCACTGCAATTGGAAATAACCAAAGATCTCTTTTTAAAGTTCCCATCTAGGAAAAATAACTCAATGTTACTATCTGAGAAAGTATCTTAGGTGAGGTTTACACCACTGCTTAGAAGTGTGCTCTCTACAATGATAGTCACTAGCCATGTATGGCTATTTAAATACAATTAAATAAAATTAAATATTCTGCCTGTCAGTTGCACTAGCCACACGTTAGTATGATAGGTACCACATGTGACTTGTGGCTGTCCTTGTGGATAGGACAGACACGAACCATTCCATCATTACAGAAAGTTCTAGGGACAGCACCAGCCTCATGTGAATAGGTACGCAAAACAGAGTAAATCGATCCAGATAAAAGTTGGTCACATTAAAAATTAATGGCAGAGTTTGCAGTGAGCTGAGATTGCACCACTACCCTCCAATGTGGGCAACAAAACGAGACTCCATGTCCAAAAAAAAAAAAAAAAATTAATGCGTTCAGCACCATCTTGGATTAGATAAAAAATAAAAATTAGGCTGGGCACAGTGGCTCACCCGTGTAATCCCAGCATTTTGGGAGGCTGAGGTAAGCAGATAAGCTGGGGTCAGGAGTTTGAGACCAGCCTGGCCAACATAGTAAAACCCTGTCCATACTACAAAAAAAGAAAAAGAAAAAACAATTAGGCATGGTGGCACATGCCTGTAGTCCGAGCTACTCAGGAGGCTGATGCAGGAGAATCGCTTAAACCCAGGAGACAGAGGTTGCAGTGAGCTGAGATCCTGCCACTGCACTCCAGCCTGGGCAACAGAGTGAGAATCTGTCTCAAAAAATAAAATGAAATAAATAAATAAGGAAGTTACAAAAATACTCTTCCAGGGTTACCCAAACTATTTTTTATATAAATCTGAGACACACAGCCCAGTCTGGGGTTATAAAATCAGAGCTCATATTACACTCAATCTTGACCACCGAATCTACCACCAGTAGCAAATTGCCTTAGTAAAAATTTTGGAAGATGAATATTTAATCTCATCTACTTTTCCATCCTAGATTGTCAGATTAGACCGAACAATGGAACAGATCGTCTTTCCCGTGCCCAGCATTTGTGAATTCCTAACCAAGGAGTCAAAACTACGAATTTACTACACTACAGAGAGAGATGAACAAGGCAGCAAAATCAACGATTTCTTCCTGCGGTCCGAAGACCTCTTCAATGAAATGAATTGGCAGAAGAAACTGAGAGGTGGGTTCCAATATATCAGCAACACCACAGAGAGACACAGTTCTGGGATTTCACCAACTGGGGCTTGATGGTGCATATATTTCTAAGCAGGAGCAAGGCTGGTATCATTTGTGATACTTTGTACCTCTGACTGCTAGGAAGTCATAACCACTTTGGTACCTGATCAGTGAGCTCCAGCCAAAGTGTGGTAACTCCCCTGAAAAGGCTTCCTTCATCAGCTTTTGAGTTGATTTGATTGGGAAGCTCCGTGGAAGACTTTTTGAATGCCTCTTTTGGTGTCTCTATCTAGAAAATAAAAAGAAAGGGGGAAAGGCCAGGCCCTTGAGTTCACAGGCTGGTTCACTTGAGCAGGACATTCAGACTCTTCCTGGCTCATTTGCTAGCACACCTGCTTCAGAGACTCTGGCATTTTCCCTTTTATGAGATAGCTCAGATTTTAGACTAAATGGTGTTACAGGCAGTGGAATCGTTTGCCACATGAGATGCATCGTTGCTACAGGCAGTGGAATCGTTTGCCACATGAGATGCATCGTTGCTACAGGCAGTGGAATCGTTTGCCACATGAGATGCATCGTTGCTACGGGCAGTGGAATCGTTTGCCACATAAGATGCATCGTTGCTACAGGCAGTGGAATCGTTTGCCACATGAGATGCATCGTTGCTCACCAGCAAGTCCCATTGGGTATCCCAGCTGGTCAGGTGGAAATTACTCATCTGAAACACATTCACAGGGCTTCCCCAGAGGGCTTCTCTCTTCTGGCTTTCACTGGGGGTTTAATATGATTCTTCAGTACCAGCCTTATGCTTGTTGCCGGCTGTTGAGACCAACTTAAAAGGGACCGTGCTTTATTTCTGTCTGTTCATGAGGAGCCATACTTTTTATTTGAAATGCTGGATTCCAGCTATAGTTGTGATGTGTTGAGCTCTTTCTGAGGGGTGGGGCTGGGTGGAGAAAAGCCATGTTGGAGGTCAGTTTCCCAGAGCTTTTGTCTTCTCCGTGATGCTGCCAGTCTGAGCAGGCGCGGACCAGCCCTGTCTGTATGTTTTTTCTTCCCTTTTCTCTGTAACTTCCTGCATCCCTAGATTAGGCTAACATCAGAGAAGGTGGTGCAAGAAGGTTTGCCCAAAAGTCTCATTCCCACCTCACCTCCAGGTCCACTCTATCTTGCTCATCTCTAAGGGGCACCTCCCTGTGTAGCACATTGAAACATTACAAAAAGTCTAGCCAGGCCAAATCTACCCCTCAGCCAGCTCCATGCCTAGTGTCTGACCAACGGGTCAGGGGACCCTTAGCAGACCAGCCTGCATGCCCTTTATGGTATGGACCTCAGGAGACATAGGTGCAATTCTACCTGGTATCAGAGGATCCTCATAGCCTCCTGTAGATTCCTCAAAAACTTTTCCAGCTCCAGCATCTTCACGAATATGGAAACTTTTACACAGCACCATGCTTGGGCAATAAGAGGAAAAAAGATACCATTTCTCGCCAGAAAGGTAGACATAGACCCCACCCATTTCATCCTCTTTTTTTTGGCTATTATTTTACATAGGAAAAAACTCGTCTGTTGCTTTTGCCCTTCACTGGGATATTCCATCATTCCAGCTGTAGGGAACAATCCTGAGTTTGTTTTGTGGGTTTTTTTTTTTTTGAGGTGGTATCTTGCTCTGTCACCAAGGCTGGAGTGCAGTGGTGTGATCTTGGCTCGCTGCAACCTTCACCTCCCAGGTTCAAGCGATTCTCCTGCCTCAAACTCCTGAGTAGCTGGAATTACAGATGCATGCCACCACGCCTGGCTAATATTTATATTTTTAGTAGAGATGGGGTTTCACCATGTTGGCCAGGCTGGTCTTGAGCTCCTGACCTTGTGATCCACCCACCTCAGCCTCCCAAAGTGCTGGGATTACAGGCATGAGCCATTGCACCCAGCCAATCCTGAGTTCTTGTATCCAAACCTCCATAGTAGTTAATAAGCTGTAACTTAACCCTTATCAGCGTATGTGCCTGTGAAATTGGTCAGACACATACACTGGTACATTCATTCTCTCCATATTGTTTTATGAAATGTTTATATATAATGTATATAATTTACAGTTTCTACAAAAGACTTATTTTGGAGACGACAAAAAGGTTTTCACCTTTTGTGGTGAGATGAGACACCCCCTAATCCCTCTTTCTCAGATATTGTCTCCAGCCTGGAATAGTAGAAGGACCCTCAGCCCCAAAGAGCGGGGAATCTGAGCTCTAGTCCATTTCTGCCTCCCACAGGCTCTGTGGCCCTGGGACAAAGGGCTTAACTGCTCCCAGACTCTCACCTATGAAGTGAGGGATTAAGATGACCTAATTGGTTGGTTGTAGAATGGTCATTGTTCTGAGACTTCTATTACATTTTAGCTAATACCATCCTTATTTCAGTCATTCTGTTTTTTTAAAAAACAGTTATCATTTCAGTGAAGCTTAAGCACAACAGTGGTGTCAGCTGAAAGATTTTAATTGGCTTCAAAACTATCTGCTGGTAAGAGAGAAAACAAAAATAATAACTGAATTAACCATGATTTGCACACTTAGGGAGGGAGAAATTTACTCATTAGAAATACAATTGAAATGAAATGCATTTTCCCCTCTAAGTAGCTTATATCTCTTCTAATAAGTCTGCAGAATCAGTTTTTTCAGGCTCATTCATTTAGCTGTTTTACCTTTTCCTGAATGTATCGCAGAGAATCATCTGTTCTTCAGTATATCTGAAGCTAGGACTCAGACACGTAGCAAGGTCTGTCCGAGACTGATGAGCCTTGGTATTTTCTTCTGCAAGATTAAAATACACAATTGCTCCGTACTTCATAAACTCTCTTCCCTGCTTTATTGACACAAGAACACACACATACTCTTCATTGCATTGACATCCTCCCTCTCACCATCCCTCTCTGAAATCCTTTCCTGAAGATCCTATACCCAGTGAAGTGAAAACTCTGGGCTAGGAAAATTAGAAGAGAGTGAAAGAGGAAATCGAGGCAGAGTTGAATATGCTGACCAACTTTCTTGCATGGGGTTTTCCTGTGTTGTTATCCCACTCATCAGTATATATGGAGTCCAAGCTTTCCAGCAAAGCCCCGTTTGTCTAAAGCAAACAAATAGAAAACAAGGAAAGAATGTTACCAAGAGATGGCCTGAGCTGCATTATTTACATTGCCCTGCCAATCCCGGATCACAGTGCTATATCTTTTTGCTATAAGGTAGCAGGTATATTCACTCAACTAACTTTTAGCCCCTGGTAGGTAGAAAACATGCAGTAAGGCAGCGGTACCCAACATTTATGGCAGCAGAGACTGGTTTTTGGAAGACAATTTTTCCACAGATTGGGGGGCATGGGGAATGAGGGATGGTTTGGGGATGAAACTGTTCCACCTCAGATCGTCAAGCATTAGTTAGATTTTCATAAGGAGTGTGCAACCTACTAGATCCCTTACATCCTCCGTTCACAGTAGGGTTTGCACTCCTATGAGAATCTAAGGCTCTTACTCATGTGACAGAGGCAGGGCCCACGTGGTAATGCTCGCTTACTGCTCACCTTCTGCTGTACAGCCCGGTTCCTAACAGGCTGTGGGCCAGCACTGGTCTGCGGCCCCAGGGTTGGGGACCCCTGCTATAAGGTACAGTGAGGAATTCAACAGTGTGCAAGCTCTGACTCCGCCTGTGGGCACTTACTCTTTGAAGTGGGCAGACAACAACAGCATATTTTTAAGTGGCTGCAATACCAAGCTGTTGGTGACCCGAGCTGTAATCAGGCATTGACACATCATGGAAGTACAAGAAAGGAAGGCTTCAGAGAAAAGGTAGGATCTGAGTAGCATCTAGAAAGATCCATAGGACTTGGATAGACGCAGCCTGAAAGACTGGGAGAAGGGGACATGGATTTTTTTCCCATTGCCGCTACAATGAATTACAACAAAGCTTGAAGCTTACAACAATACACATTGATAATCTTACATTTCTGGAGATCAGAAGTCCGAAAAGGTTCTCGTTGGCTAATACGAAGGTGTTGATAGGGCTGTGTTCCCTCTGAAGGCTCTATCCTTTTCCAGCTGCTAGAGGCTGACCGTGGCCCCCTGCCCCTCCCTCCACCTTCAAAGCAGCATTGTCCAGTAGAGCGTTTCTCATGCTGCACTGCTGTGGCTCTGATCCTCCTGTTCCCTCTCACTCTGTCACTTACACAGATGCTTGTAACCACATTGGACCCATCCACATAATCCAAAGCAACCTCCCCATCTCACATCCTTAACCTAAGTATACCTGCAAAGCCCCTTTTGCCAGGTTAATGTAGCACATTCACAGGTTCTAACGATTCACATGTCAACATGTTTCGTGGGGTACATTATTTTGCCTGCCACAGAAGGTAGGTTAGTTGTTTTTTATTGCTGTATAACTGACTGCCCTAGCATGTCGTGACTTAAAACAATAAATGTTTATTTTCTCACAGTTTCTTGGGGTCAGAAACTTGGGAGTGGCTCCTGTGGATGGTTCTGGCTCAGGTCTTTCATTAGGTTGTAGCCAGGATGTCAACCACAGCTGCCATCATCTGAAGGCTTAAGTGGACCTGGAGCACTCCTTGGTGCTCGTAAATGGCTGTTGGCAGGAGGCCTCGGTTCCCCTCCACATGGACCTCTCCACAGGTCTGCTTCAGCATCCTCATGACATGGCAGATGATTTCCTCAGAGAAAATTATTGATGAGAGAGAGAAGGTGGGGGAAAGAGAGCCAGAGGAAGAAGAGGAGGAGGAAGCCACAGTGCTTTTATTAACATCACCTAGTCTCGGAAGGCGTGAATCGGTAGATTCACTCTACTCTTTTTTATTAGTAGCAAGTTGCTCAGTCCAGCCCATACTCAAGTGGAAAGGAAGTTAAGGTGTACCACTTGAAGGGAGGAGGATCAAATGATTGATGAACATATTTTTAAATTGACACAAAGGGAGTATGCAGAGGCTGGAGAATATGAGGTGTGTTCGGGAATGACCACTGGATTGGGATACAAAGGCAGAGTATATGGGGAAGGAGAGTGGGGGAAGAGTCTGGAAAGGTAGGTGGGAACGTAGTTTCATGTACTGCAGGAAATAAAAGATACTGCACGTCATGGTAGGTCTCTAAGTATCTTCTTGCACCTGGGTAATTACCTAGTTGATTCAGAGGACTGAATGCTTGCTCAGATTGTAAACAACACTACAACTTAAGTAGAATGTTAGCCTTATAAAAATAATACTTATTTTATGAACTATATGCCATAGTTGAACACCATTTATTATAACCATATTAGCGTATGCTGCAGTGGACACACTCACATTTGATACTGAGCACTCCCTCTGAAGCGAATGCTGGCTTACACAGGCCATCACCGAGCTTTGCCAGATCCTTTCCCCCCTCCAACTTTGTTTTATGAGCTTTTTATACACATACTAGTGTGGAGAGGATATTACAGGTTCCCACGTATCCATCACTCAGCTTTAGCAATTATCAGCTCTTTGCCATTCATCTCTTCTGTCCTCTTCTGGAGTTTACATATCCAGATCAGAAATGGGCTTCAGTCCCAGGAGAAGCACAATAGCTGTTGTTTCTAGAGCAGATAAATGTCTCAGCTTAAATTTGCTTCAGCAGGGTACAAAAAAAGTACATTGCTACCTAGTGGTTGACTGGCTTCTGGCTGGCTACCCCATTGAATTGTCACATGGGTCAGTTATTTTTATCCCTATCACTGACCCCATGGGTAACAAGATCTCCACTGCTTTTGCCCTGTGCTAGAGCCTCAGTTTTCCTCATTTATACAATGAGGGATTTTAAACTAGGCAATTGCTCATGGCTCTAAAACTCTACAGTTTGGAAACATTGACTGTTACCAAGTGCAAACATGATATAGGCAATTAATAAATTACCCAGGGCTCTATTTAATTGTACCATAATTTTATTTTGGTTGGAATCTCCCAAAGGCTTGGCTGCTGCTTAAAGCATTATTATAGGGCCATTGGATTTGTCATTGGCTGCTGTCCCAAAGTTGCATGATGACTTCATTGGGAAAAAGAAATATACGATAGAGATCCATTCTCATCTACTCCATGCTTTTCTCTGGAGGGGGATGATGTGGAATGTAACTGTCCTTTAGAAACTTTGCTTCTGACATGGATGCTGAAATTATGCCTAGCATGTCTCTTTTGGAGCCTCACCCTAGTGTAAAGGACCATTGAAAAAGCGTTCAGGGAAAAAGGAGGCTCCACTGTACCCAAGTGTGGCCACAGGTTTGTTGTTCTAAGACTGAGAATGCCCAGCCAGCGTGGGATAACCTGTGGGCAATGGCGGATTAAGGTGGCAGCAATGTCCAAAGAAAGTGTCCCTGTCTCTTACCCCTTTGTGATGGCTTTGCTGCCACGTCCTTTCTCTGCCATAGCCCTGGAGATGGGAACTCTGCTGCTGACCACCAGGTCAGCAACTCGTACCCCTCGCTTTCCTGTCCTCAAGAATGACCATCCAACTTCAGGGAAATGGCAGATGACTCAGTGTCAGGAAAGGAGTCATTGCCTTGCTTTTAGGCACTGGCACATTAGTTGAGCATGTTGAGCCAGAGAGGAATGTGGAAATGATACCAGCCCTAGTGTGGGGCCCAGCTGGGCTGACTCCCCTGCTCTCTGCAGTGCCCTGCACTTCTGAAAAGCTAATTGAATTTTTGGGTCTCTCTCGGCATCTCCTCTGGTCCTGGAGCTCTGGGGGGAACCAAGGACTCAATGTGTGAACTCTGGATAACCCCCAGATTCTGTAACTGATGGTGCTGACTGGGGCACGCAGGGTTTGTAGATGCTCCAACTTTTCTCTTTTTCCTCTCTTCTTACTCCACCCCCAGTACATCTTCTGTTCCAGTAAGTACTCCACACAGAAATAAACCGATCTGATGTCATTAAGTACCAAGTCCAAAACAAACGATCATTTCTACTGTTGTGGTAAAAACCGGGAACAAAAGTGGAGTTGTGGGGCAGGGTGGGTGGGTCCCTGGCATTCCGGCTCGGGGTCTCCAACCTCACATGCCTTTGCCCTTGTCTCCACAGCCCAGCCCGTGTTGTACTGGTGTGCCCGCAACATGTCTTTCTGGAGCAGCATTTCGTTTAACCTGGCTGTCCTGATGAACCTGCTTGTGGCATTTTTCTACCCATTTAAGGGCATCCGAGGAGGTACTCATATCTTTAATTTCAAAAAACCTATTAGAAGCAGCAGGAAGGCTATGACTTGCGTCTTGGTTGTGGTTCCTGGAAGTATTGGTGCAATATCGGGTCCCAGTTATCCAGGTTCAGACAAGAGGAGATTGTAGTTGTTACCACAGATTTAGTTTTAAATCTAACTTACAATAATTTACCTTTTACATCCATTTTTTTTTCCCACTGGGAAAGAAAGAGAAGCAGCTAGATACTACTGAACCTGTGAGGAATTCTCTTAATCAGCCCCTTGTTTTATATATGGGGAAACTATGTCTCAGAGCAGTTAAGGGATCAGGTCAAAGTCACACAGCTAACTAATGGCAGAGCTAACCCTAAAACAGAGATGTCCTGATGCTCAGTTCAGTATATGCATTCCCACACCATACTTCTGGAACTGGTTTCAGACTAAAGAATCTGTAAGAAATCTCTGGAATATTTTTTGTGCCAGGGTTCAGAGCGGAGGCAGGACTTGAATGACTGCAGACTGTACAGTGTTTAGTCTATTAAGAGCTACCTGCCGTTACTCACGTAACGAAACATGATGATTACGGTGTTTCTGGATTTCCCCAGGCCACCTCCTTCCGGGCCACACATTTTGCTGAGAAAAGGCAGATGCAGAGGGAGGCATTTTGCTGTTTGGGGCCGCTGAGTGCATTAATGGTATCCTAGAGACATCCACATTTGCGAGGTTCCAGTGGCAGGCGTTCAGAGCTCCTCTTCCATGATTCATTCACAGCCCCTTTCTGACATCCATGACAGCCACCTGGGAGGTCCACTTCCCAGCTACATGTTTCATCAGAGCGTTTTGGCAGATCACCTCACATACGCATGTAACAACCTGCCAGGAACCACTTTGTGTGAAAGGTAATGGGATAAAGACCCCAAGTACAAGACACAAAACTACACAGGAGTAAGTTTTAGGCTCCACTCTTTAGCTTAATCATGCAGACATCAACTCAAGCAGACAAGTATGGGTAACGAGTCAGTTTAAGGATCAGTTTGAAAGCAATGACATGTTATATAATGCTTACATGCCTAAGTTACCCTTTTGAGGAGTTAGCTTTTCTGTTTGGTCTTAAGTTACATGGAAGACATCATTTGAATTTTTCCCCCCAAAAGTACAATGTAAACACAAACCCAGGGGGGATTTTTTTTAATGTCATATTAGACAGCATGAATGCCCATGTCTCTGTCTTAAAAGATTTGACCAGAACCCAGGGCTGCAAGGTTTTCTCTTTGGGGACGTCCACCTTAGCCCAGCTGCCAGTCAGCAGAGGTGTGCATGGTGGAGGGCCAGTGAGGAGCTCAGCTGGCTGTGGCAGAGAAGGCCCAGGTCTCCTTTCACTTCAGAGAAGTTGTCATGCTCCTCACAGCAGATCATTGAATCCTTACCTTGTCTGTGTTTCCATTTACTCTCCATTGCTTTAAAAATATTTCAAACAGATTTTATTATTCACTGCATCCATTTCTTCACCAGTCATATGTGGCAGCATTCAGGCCAGTTCTGGGGACAGGGAGTTGACAGCTCACCCCCGACACTTCAGTGACAAGCCTCCTGCAGTGGCATTCTTAGACTTAGGAAGTCAAGAGATTTAACATCTCTTTCTGGCTCCTGCTGCCCATTTGCCAAGCCACTTCAGCAAGTCCTTGACATCCTCTGTGTGAAGAGATGCTTACATGAAGCCCATGGTTGAAAAACTTTGATATGGCTTCAGAAAGTCCTGTAGAACACAAGGAAAAACAGTTGCCAAACTAGTCAGGATCTCCAGAGCATGTGTTTCTTGCCCATCCAAGCTTGAGATGTCATGACTGTTGAGGGTCCTTCCAACTCTAAAATGGTACATTCTTAATGAGCCATCAACTCTGGCTGGTCTGCAGGAGGCAAGGATGCCTGGGTTGGAATCTTGGGCTTTAGAACTTCATTCTGATGGACTAAACTGAAAGCATAAATTAGAGCTCATAGGAGATTTGACCTGAGGTTGATCTGACCCAAGGAAGCCTTTTCCATTATCCAGTGACTGATATTGCCTTAAATGCATCAACTTACTCTCAGAGGGATTTATTTTTCCTTTTCTATACTGACAGCTTACCATCCGCAGGAGGAGGATTGTATTAACCCTCCCTATAAACAAGATCTGGTTTGTTGACCTGAAAGTATTTCTTTGAGTTAATATTTGTTAGGATTCGTTGCATCCTGAAAACAGGAATTCAAAATGTCCCTCTTGAATGTATATAATAGCCCTATAATGCATGCTGATGTGGTTCTGTGGCTTATAAGGTTTGTGACTGCCAAGAACCAGTGGCCTTAAAAGCTCCTTTTCAAAAGTATCATTCTGCCCCACCCATTTGTTTTAGAACTGACAAGTTACAGTCTTTCAAAAGCATGCAGCTTTTGAAAACTGAGGCAGCTTCAGATGGCTTACTGAATTTGTGAGCATGCCATGATGGCTAAAGCAAATGTAGTACTACTTTTTAAATGTTTTTATTATTGAAATTGTCAAATATACACACAAGTAGAAAGAGCAATATAATGAGCTACCATGTACCTATCAGCCAGCTTTAACAATTTTGCCTATCTTGTTTCATACATCCCTGTATTATATTTTTTGAAACATTTAAAAGAAGTCTAGACATCTTGGATTTTTGGTCCATAAATATTTCAGTGTATATCTCTAACTTATAAGGATATTTTAAAATATGTATAATCACCATGCCATTATCATGTCTAACAAAACTAACAGCAAATCTTGTAATAGGCTGTCCAAATTCAGATTTCTCCAACTGTCTCAAAGATGTCTTTCTAGAGTTGGTTTTTTGGAATGTAGCACTGTGTTTTTTAACACTCCTTTTATAGTGAGGAGACAGCATTTTTACATTGCCCTCTTCAGGATTTGGGACCAGTAGGTCACATTGATGATACTGAGATAATTTTAAGAGTCCATTTAAAATGGCATTAAGCACTTCAGAAAATGATAGGTAAGCCACAGACTAGGAGAAGATAGTTACCAAAGTATATATCTGATAAAATGCTTTTATCCAGAATATGTAAAGAACTCTTACAACTCAATAATAAAAAAACTGTTCAGTTAAAACAGTGGGCAAAACATTTGATCAGACACTTCACAGAAGATATGTGAATGGCCAGTAAGCACATGAAATGATGTTCAGCATCACTAGTTATCAGGGAAATGTAAATTAAAACCGCAACACCATACCACTGTACACCTACCAGAATGACTAAATTAAAAATATGGGTACTACCAAGTGTTGATGATGCTTGGATCAGATGGAACCGTCATATACTGCTGGTGGGAAGGCAGTGTGGTACATTCAACTTGGAAAACAGTATGGTATTGTCATTTAAAGGTAAACATATACTTAGGATCCAACATTCTACTTCTCTGTGTTTGTCCAAGAGAAATGAAAGCATACGTCCCCTCCAAGATTTGTGCCTGAATGTTTCTAGTCATATTATTTGCATTCACTCCAAACTGGAAACTCATTGATTGTTAGCTGACAGATAAATTGTAACATATCTATACCATAATATAGTCAGCAATAAAAAGTACAAAGTATCAATACATGCATGGTAACTTGGATGTATCTTAAAAACTTGCTAGGTGAAAGAGGTGAAGCACAAAAGACTTCCTACTGATAGGATTATTTTTCCATTTTTATGAAATCCTAGAAAGTTTAAAACTATAGGGACTGACATCAGATCAGTGGTAGCTGGGGGTAAGGATGGGGCAAGGCATCACCTGCAAGGAGGTACAAGGAGACTTTTTAGAGGGATAAAAACGTCTCTGTCTTGCTGTGGTGACAGTTACATGCAGTAGTTACATGACTACATAAACTGCCAAGGGGCACCAAGTTTTACACTTAAAATGCATAGATTTTTTAGAAATATTGATAAGGACCATCAACTTCAGAGGCAGATGGTCAGCAGCCACTTGCTGCATCACTTTGGGCAAGAAATGTAACCTGAGACTCAGTTTCCTTTACAATAGTACCAACCTCCTAGGGTGGTTAAGAGGACTCAGTAAATGATCATCAGTGTTAAGGGCTTGACATGACGTCTCACAATGGTTAAATGCTCAGAAAGAGGCACATGTGCCTCAATGTGCACTTCCTGAATTTCCGAGAAGCCTCTGCCTCTTTGTCCCCATTCCTAATCAGATTTTCCTTTTGAAGGATTTCAAAAGGGAAGAGGCAAGTGGCTGGGCTGGGGGGAGCAGTTGTTAAAGTGAGGCTGAATCTCGGCAGGCGTGGACTCAGTGAACTAGGGCAGCCAGCAGCTGGTGGAAGAACTGTGCCCTGCAAAGGTGTCTCCTCCCCGATGGTGGACAATCCCAGCATCTCTGAAGAAGTGAAGCTCCTTTATATAAGTGGCCTTAATCATGTAGTGCTGCTTGTTTACATCTGAAGGAGACTCAAAATGTGACAGCATTTGAAATAGGGGTGTTTTTTTTTTAATGAGTGTTTTACAGAACTATATTTTTAGCTGTGTTGGCTCATGTTATATAACCAAGCCGTCTCGTGGGACACTCTAAATAGAACTTGCAGTAGCAAGAGATGACAAAAATTGGTATAAGCTCTTTGACTGCAGGGATAATCTAATTGTAGGATGATGCTCATGACACGGAAGTTGCCTTTCTCTTTCCCTTGGAGAAATCTGATTCAGGCAGGGGACCTGCAGTTTTCCTTTGCATACTTTTAATAGATATTAAGTTGAGGCTTCCAGGTCGCCTTCTCTGAGTGAAGTGTGACACATGCATGAGTTTTATTTCTCGAACAAGCTTTTCGTGAGTCCTTGCCAGGCACCAGGTACTTCCCTTGGGAGATGTGCAGTCTGGTGAGAGAGAGACAAGTAAGCTGACCATTAGGAAAGAGCGTCCTGTAGGGATGACTGGGAGCAGGGAATAGGGGGAGGAGGGAACTCCTGACATGTTTTTCTGGGGAGGAAAGGGATGGGGGAGGCTTCTTAGGAGAAGTAATGCCAAAGCTAAGACCTGAGATGAACGAGAAGGGAAGAACTTCCCAGCAGAAGGAGTGTGTGTGAAGGCTTGGAGGTCAGAAAATACTGATGGGACTGTTTATGTATGGGGCAGAGAATTTGAGGTGAGTGTTGGGACTGGTAAGGCAAAAAAGTTATTGAAGAAACTGTAATGGTGCATGCTTTAGGTCTGTCCCCTGTACTCAGTGAACACACAGATTTGTGAGAGAACACTGTTTTGTCCCCGCAGGAACCCTGGAGCCCCACTGGTCGGGACTCCTGTGGACAGCCATGCTCATCTCTCTGGCCATTGTCATTGCCCTCCCCAAGCCCCATGGCATCCGGGCTTTAATTGCCTCCACAATTCTACGATTGATATTTTCGGTCGGGTTACAACCCACATTGTTTCTTCTGGGCGCTTTCAATGTAAGTATGAATACCTTCCTTGCCACTGTTTTATTTGCAAGTAAATAGGAATGCCTTGGATTCTGGTTTCTAGAATCCTGGCCTGTGCTTTCAGTCCATAAAAATATTGTTTGGGGAAACTGTTAAAATGGCAGAAGCAAGGGATGGCTGCAGGTGGATATCTCCCTCTTGACTGCCTTGTGGTACAGTGAGCCTTGTAATGCATCCCTTGGGTACCAGCACTCTCACTTTTAGGGACTATCCCTGTCAGGAAATAGGCAAGAAGAGTGGTAGCACTTGGAGATTTAAGTTAGTTTTGCTAATCTAGTCAAAGGTTTGTTGGGATAGGAGATTTTAGACAGTAAGTGAAATGATCAAATATTAACACAGCACCCACTTCTGGCAAGGGCCACATAGAAAACAGGGGAGAGGTAAGAGGGACAGGCCAAACACAGAGATGGGGCAGGTAGAAAAGGAAGAGGAGAAGCAGAGACAGTTCTTTAAAAGTCAGTGGTGGCATTTAGAAATGCTGTTTCAGTAACATTGAAAGATAGAAGCCAATTCCATCTCTGGGAGAATTCTTAGGACAAACTGATATAAACCATACATTGGAGAGGTTTCCTGGCGAAGGGAAGGAGAAAATTTGGACATGCGAGGCACTGGAGGATCTACAAGTGCCTTCCAGGGTTTCTGCCCTGAGCATATAAGGAAGCCGAGGTCCTTGTGCAAAACTTGAAGTGATGTTGCAAAATAATATAGTAATTCAGTGCAACAACAAATGTCCCAAAGTGAGTATTCAAATGGCACAGGCAGAAAGGACTTTAGAGGAGACGAGGTCACATCAAGCTGAAAAACTTACAGTGAGGAGGAGGCAGGATGGAAATTAGGGCCTATGGATTGGAGGGACAGCCTCAGTGGCTCACATCTGTAATCCCAGCACTTTGGGAGGCTGGGGTTAGCGGATCACTTGAGGTCAGGAGTTCGAGACCAGCCTGGCCAACATGGCAAAACCCTGTCTGTACAAAAAATACAAAAATTAGCTCAGTGTGGTGGCATGTGCCTATAACCCCAGCTACTTAGGAAGCTGAGGCAGGAGAATCACTTGACTCTGGGAGGTGGAGGTTGCAGTGAGCTGAGATTGTGCCACTGCATTCCAGCCTGGGTGACAAAGGGAGACTCCGTCTCAAAAATAAATAAATAAATAATTTTTTTTTTTAATGGAATGGAGAGGATCTGGCCAGGAAGCACAGATTGAGAAGAGTGTTTGGTTTTGTGGGCCCTATAGGGCAGAGCAGAACAGTGGCAATGCCCAGGATATTATCAAGACAATAAAGAGTTTCACCTTGTCCATGGTCCAGTAGTGATCAGTAGGAACCAATCCTGTATGAGTCACTTGCTGCATGGAATTTTAGGATAAAGCAACAGGACTTCATCCCCCAGGTCAGCATTCCCAGAGCATATTCCACGTTGATAAATGTAAGGTGAAAAAAGGGTCCCGTGGTCGAATCAACGCGAAAAATGCTGCGGTAAACACAATGAAGGGTTTCGTTACTTCAGGCTTCCCCTCAGATTTTAATGTTCTAATTTGGATATGGATTAGGAATCTTCAAGGAAAATAGTGTATTCTGTTTCCCAAACTTATTTTCCCACAGTTTTTCGTTAAGTATCACTTGAGATTAGTGTTGTATAGAATGTATGTTGAAAACTCTGTTCCCAGTAGTGGAAATTGCCTGTGGTGTTTTGAGCCAAGAAATGGTGTATACAAAGAAGTATTCTTGAGAAAATGCATTCTGTAAGGCATGTTATATGGATTCATCGAGAGGGACTGGAGGCAAGGAGGCTTTTTAGGGGCTGTTGCTGTGCTTTGATTAGGTTCGACAAGCCTGAGTCTTGGTCACAGTGTGGAAGAAAGAAGGAAGGTATGGACCTCAGAAATGGGAAGGAAATAGGCCGAGCACAGTGGCTCAAGCCTGTAATCCCAGCACTTTGGGAGGCCAAGGTGGGCAAATCACTTAAGGCCAGGAGTTTGAGACCACCTTGGCTGGTATGCATGCAAAACCTCTCTCTACTAAAAATATATAAAAATTGGCCTGGTGTGGTAACATGTGCCTGTAATCCTAGCTACTCGAGAGGCTGAGGCACAAGGATCTCTTGAACCTGGGAGGAGGAGGTTGCAGTGAGCCGAGATGATGCCTCTGCACTCTAGCCTGGGTGACAGAGTGAGACTGTGTCAAAAAGAAAAAAAAAAAAAAAGAAAAGAAAAAAGAAATGGGAAGGAAATAGTAACACATGGTGGGCACCGAGTCAGTGCCTTACCCCAGAAAGCAATGAGCTTGTATTAGTTTATTCTTGCATTGCTATAAAGCAATGTCTGAGACTGGGTAATTTATAAGAAAAGAGGGTTAATTGGCCTGAGGCTTTGCTGCTGTACAGGAAGCATGGCAGCATCTGCTGCTGAGAGGCCTCAGGGAGCCGTCACTCATAGCGGAATAAAAGCAGCAAAGTCGGAGCCGGAGCTGGCATCTTCACATGGCTGGAACAGGAGGAAGCCACACACTTTTAAACAACCAGATCTCTGTCTCTATACTGTACCCAGGCCGGGTGGCGCTAAACCATTATCCAGTCACCTCCCACCAGGCCCCGCCTCCAACACTGGAGGTTACACTTTAAAAGGAGATTTGGTGGGACACAGAACCAAACCGCATCAGTACTCCGGGTCCTTTTTTCAGGAGAAGAGGGTATCACTGTCTTGATTGGGTGATAAAGGAGGCAAATATGGCTCCAAATTTTCAGTCACAGATGACTGGGAGAAGAAAAACGTGGGCATCTGAAACGAAGTCATGCAAAGATCTAGTTTTCAGGGTGAAAACGCATTTAATTCGTTGACTTACTGGGCTTCAGGTGCAAAGACGCACTGTTAACATTAGCTGTGGCATTTGGAAATACATGACCAGAACCACAAGAGAGAATGTAAGGATTGCTTGCAGTGAGAGGAAACCATTTAAAAAGGAAATACAAAAGAATTACATAAACTAGATACAAAAAATGTTCAGTATTTCAGAGGCTGTCTGTCTAGTTCTTTTTTCTCTGGCCTTCTCTGATGATCGTTCCACAGTTACCACTTCTTGTTTGTTTGTTTGTTTTCGTTTTGAGACAGAGTCTCGCTCTGTCATCTAGGCTGGAGTGCAGTAGCATGATCTTGGCTCACTGCAACCTCCACCTCCTGGGTTCAAACGATTCTTCTGCCTCAGGCTCCCGAGTAGCTGGGACTACAGGCACATGCCACCACACCCGGCTAATTTTTGTATTTTTAGTAGAGGGTGGGGTTTCACCGTATTGGCCAGGCTGGTGTCGAACTCCCAACCTCGTGATCCGCCTGCCTGGGCCTCCCAAAGTGCTGGGATTACGGGCATGAGCCACCGCCCTGAGCCAGTTATCACTTCTTTAACACAAATCAGTTGGGGAAAGACTCAACTGAGACAATTAATTACCATTTACAACAACATGAGCTGGGATGGAAGGGGCAAACAACTACAATAAATAATTATTTAGAAGGAATTTTAAAAGAAAAAAGCACCCACGTGGAATGTATGGGAGAGGGAAAGTAGCTGTGGATGGAGACAGAGAAAGAATGTTGGAGTTCTTAGAGCTGGGGAAGGGGGGGGCGGGTTCCTGAAAGCCCAGCCAGGAGAGTGGTGAGCAGGGTGGGGTGGGAGCCCTGTCGTGCTGCAGGGAGCTGGGAAGGATGCTAAGAGCAGACGGGAAGACTGCTGCGTGCGCAGAATCCTTGGAGACTTCGCATGAGCTGCCTCTGTAGAGAGGTGGGGATGGGAGCCAGATCTAAGACTAACAAGCGGAGTCCAGCCACAGGCTGAGACCACAAATAGCAGCTATTTCCTGGGGAAGCAGTGGAGAACACTAGGGCAGAAATTAGAGGGGAAAATGGATTTGGGTGAAGTGGATCACCCCGGTGTTAAGATGGTAGGAGCCGGGGCATGTTTGAGGTCTGTAATGTGTAATGTCACCCACAGCACCATCTGCCCTTCCCTGAAACCACATCATCGTGGATCATCCAGAATCAGTGATACTATCCCACCCTATGAAAGCCCCTCCACTAGCAGAGGTTAGAATTTTGGAAAAAAAACTGGCAGATTGAATGCTTAGCCTGTCTGAGAAAGCTAGCGACCATCTGTGGGTGTCGGCTTCCTTGCTTATCTGATTGCCGAGAAGCTCACTTACACCGACCTACCAGATTAACTGGCAGAATTTCCCCAGCACCTGTGGCCAGGGAAGCTGGAGTAGCAGAAGATGGTTTTACCAAGTGCATCCAGAGAGGTTCCTCTCCAGCCTCCTCCTGAGCCATGTTTTTCTGTCAACATATTGCTGGAGAGAGACTTCCAGCCATTGGGGTTTCTATCAAAGGTGGGACTATATTGCACAGTAGTTGTGTTAGGACTCCTTCAGTTACAGGTGTTAGAAAACCTCATCCATGCCAGCCTCAGCAAAGGAGAAAATGTACTGGTTCATTTTGACCAAGAAACCAAGAGCCTCGCTTCAGACACAGCTGATGACGGGGCTCAGACAGTGGCCTCGGGGCCCAGTTCCTCCTTGCCATCTTTTGGCTCTGTGTCCCCAGTATTGGTGGTGCCTTCAGTGTTGGTGGTGTGGCAGCTCCAGCGTTTATAGCTACTCAAGTTCGAGGTCGGTGGGAAAGAAAAAAATTATCTTTTGCAGCAATCCCAGGGAAGACCTCTGTGGATGTCATTGGCTCCCTTTGGTCCTGTGTCTATCTCTAACTCAGTCATTGTACCCAGGGGGATACAATATTGTGACAGCCAGGTTAGAGCCTCACCTACACCTCAAAGACTGCTACTCAGAGAGGGATGGATCCCCAAAGGAAAATCAGAATTTATTCCCAGAAGAGAGGGCAGGGGATTAGAACTCATCCTGAAATCCCTTTTTTTTTCCCCAAGAAAATTCTTGTTTTCCCTGTAACCTTAGGAGCAGTGAAAGGCGAGAACTGATCACTGCTCACTAAATTGCCACCTTACAGTGCCTAGAATGTAACAAATTCAGAAAAGGCTTTTGATCATGCTGATCACAGGGTTCGTGGATTGAGGTGACTTCTGTGTTTGACTAATGCATATAAGAATGTTAGAAATGATTCATATCTCATTTTGAAAATCATAATCTCAGTATGTGTTAATTTTGTTTTTGCCATAGAGAAATGCGACTTGATTACTGTTGCACAAGAAGTTATTTGACTACCATGTATTTTGTAATATGCCTAAAAAGCAAAGTAATGAAATGACTTAGATCTGCAAATGGTTCTTGGCGGGTTTGGTGGGCACCAGGTGGAAAAGGAAGCATTTGTTTGGGCATGGTGACTGAAATACATTTGTGTGAGACACTCTCTTTGCTCTTACACAGTCTGTGCCATCTGACTGGTCCTGTCATTGTTCTCAGGTATGCAATAAAATCATCTTTCTAATGAGCTTTGTGGGCAACTGTGGGACATTCACAAGAGGCTACCGAGCCATGGTTCTGGATGTTGAGTTCCTCTATCATTTGCTATATCTGGTGATCTGTGCCATGGGGCTCTTTGTCCATGAATTCTTCTACAGTCTGCTGGTGAGTACCTGGTGTGGAAATACTTTATGTGTGGGGAACTAGGAGAGTATCCTACGTCTTCTCTCTCATCACAGACCCTTCCTTTTAATGGTGGTTGGTGTGCCTGGTCCACCAAGATGGAAGCTCCACAGTTTGCAGCCTTTGGGGGATCTCAGAGGAAAGCTACACAGGAATTAGGCCAGCCCAGGAATATAGGAGTTGCACAACTGCACTGTGTCCTGTGCACACCAGGCCTGTTGCTTCTCAGTAATGGAAAATGCCTGCAGTAGGTTCAGGAGATGTTTCCTCTCCATGCACCTTTGTTTCTCTTTACTCCTTAGACTCAGCCAAGACTTACACCAAGAGGAGTGTTTTTGAGGCTGTCATCCAGCAGTTCTCATGAAATCCATTTCTCTGAACACACGTAGTGACCATAAGAGTACAAGCTAGCTTTGAAGCCCCAGGATTCATGATAATGAGCTCAGTAGATTTATTGGTCCAGGAGACCCTTCTCAGTAAAAGTTATTTTGTTCCAATATGAGCCAAGTGCTTAATGTCTTGACAGCCTATAAAACAAGTTAGTTCTATCACCTTTCTCCTGAGTAGCTTTTTAAATTACAAATCAAATAACTGCTTACTTTCCTATAGTTAAAGGGAATCTAGACCTGTGGCATTGCAGATAAGAAACCATTTTCTTGTACCTACATAAAATGACAGAAAGCATAAAATTGACCTGTCTGCAAGCCACACCATACTAAGCCTAGAAATATTAAAATGTTTGTGCGGACAAAAATGATCAAGGCCTAAGGGCTGACTTGCAAAGAGGGACGGACTTGCAAAAGGTGGAGCAAGGAAAGCGCTTCAGGGAAGTGCTTAGAAAATCCCATCGAAGCACATATGAGAGGTATCCAGCCACAATCTAGTTTGATCCTACTGCATTTTCTAAAAGTGAACTGAGGTAGTACCATCATCAGAGCTGGGAGTTACTCTTATCTTTCTGCAGTAGGTTAGAGATTTGAAAGCACAAATGCACCTGTGTGAGACACCCCCTTCACTTAACTTACCTGCTTTGTGCCTCAGTTTCCTCATCTGCAAAATGAGAACACTGTGTCTCCCTCAGACGGCCGTCATAGGGATTACATGCAGCTGTTCAGGTCAGGGGCTTAGAATAGCACTGCCGAACGATTGCCGGCTATTATTGTCTTTGTCATTCTATATTCCTTCCCCCGTCCAAAACACCATAAAGAATTCACCGTTCAGATCACTAGGATTAGCTCATTCCATTAGGGGTGGATGTTGGCAGGCTAAAGGGAATGGATTATTTTCCCTCATCTAAAAATAGGCCTGGCTATATTTTGAGGTTTTAGGCAAAGAGGTCTCAGGATATACTTGTGATTGCCATTATGTGGCCTATTTTGGTCACTTTGTATCAGAAATCTTTCGAGACTTGTGTCTGTTTCTGAGACTTTTTGTCTCATGCCATCATGTCCCTGGACAACAAATCCTGTCCTCCCTCAGCAGGGCAGCAGAGCTCAGTTGGTGGTCTCTCTCATCCCTGCCAAGGGGTCTCCCCCAAAAGACAGGAGATTGCCCTTTGAACAACACCCCCTTGCCCCTGTAGACACTTTGACTTTTCCTCCAGTCTGCCTCTAGTTGGCTTTGCCTCTTCTCTGTTCTTTTGAGTCTTCTTCTTTTCATCACTTGCAATGCAGGCCAGTCCCAGTGCTTGATGCAGGGCACATAATGGTGAGAGGAGCAGGCCCGACCCTCGTAGCCCTCACAGTCTGGAGCACGGCACAGTGACTGCCGTTTCATGAGTGCTCACCCTGTACACGCTCGCACTACCACCTTTGAGGTAGATGGTATCTTCCAGTTACAGCTGAGGAGGTAGATGGTATCTTCCAGTTACAGCTGAGGAGTCCGAGGCTGGGTGAGGTTAGGCAACTTGCTCAGAGTCATACTGCCAGTCACTGGCAGAGGCAGGAGAGCCACACAACTCTGTCGATTCCCAAGTCTACACTGCCTTTTATTCAAGCACATGAAAAAGTCCCTGCATCAGTGAAACTGGCATTTCACGTTGCAGTTTACATCTGTGCTTTCAAGTCTCTACCCTATCACAGAAAGGTAAGAGTAACTCTCAGCTTCTGATGATGCTACCTCAGTTCACTTTTAGAAAACGCAATAGGTTCAAACTAGATTGTGGTTGGATGCCTCTCATATGTGCTTTGGGAGGGATTTTCTAAGCCATCTGGACCCTGACTTGTTTGTGGCTTCAACCGATTTGCCCCTTTGGGTATCAAAGCAGTATTGGATGTGTCTGGTAAGAACCAGAAAACAAGGACACTGTTCGAATTATTCCACTGATAAGGAAAGCCCGCAACTAAAAAAGAAAAAAAAAAATTGGGCTGCCTGTAAAAGGAGAGAGACCTCAGCAGGGAAAACCCATGTGTTCCTGAGTTGGGAGAGCTCCCTTCATGCCAGCAGGCCAGAAGGCAGAGAGGGTAATCTGGTGGCCTAATTAAACTGCCGACCCCCCCCCCACACAAGACTGGCTGGACCTGGTCTTGAGCCTGCATTAAAGCTGTGTCATTAGAAAAATATTAACACCTGGAGATGAAAATGTGCAAAGTTCATACGCAGCAGGCAGTTAACAAAAGCAGAAATCCAGACGGTCAGTAAACATGGAAAAATGTTCATCCTTGCTGCTAAACAAAGACATGCTAATTAAAACAGCACAACCCGGTTAATAAAGATTTCAAAGTCTGATGGTGCCCAGTACTAGTGAGAATGGGGTAAAATAGGCATGATTCTTTACTAGTTGTAAACGTAAACTGATCCAGCCTTTCTTGAAGGCAGTAGGTTTCCTTATACCATTTGACCCAAATACTCCATTTCCAAAAATTTGCCAAAAAGTAATAGCTAGATGAGCCTGTATAGAGCCATGTATAGAAGTGCTCATCATAGCGTTATTCATTATAATTGGAAACATCTTGACTCTTTTTAAAAAAAAAAAAAAAATATTGATTATGTTAATCATGTTTTTCCCATATAGTGAAATACCGGGTGATCATTTTTGACAGAAGAATGTTCCTGATGGCTTGGTGAAAGGCTGTTTATGTGCCAGTATTATGGTCTAATATTTTTGTAAGCAATATATATCTATTCATGGCATCTTTTAAAAGCCAGGAGGAATTAAGTCATTGAACGAACGTCTCTAGGTGGTGAACTATTGGTGACTTTTTTCCTTTGTGCTTTTGTATTCCAAGTTTTCTCCATTGAACATGTATAATTTTCTAATTAGAAGAAAGCTTTTCTTTTATATGAATAATACATATTGATTGTTTTAAAATCAGAAATTATAGATACGGGAAAAGAAAAAATCGCTTGTCATTTCAATGATTTGGAGGCTCTGTAATCTCTATGGTCCTTAACCACAGGAAACAAGTATCATCTGTCCTCTGAAGTTGCTCTTACTTGCCACTTTATATTGAGCTGCTGGAAAATATTTAACCAACATTAACAGCAACACTTTGCCTGCTGTCATACTGTATTGACTAAACACGTCTTCCTTGCTTCCCTTTCAGTATCCTACTCCACCCAGTGCCCTTTACAGAACTAGTCTCAGAACACAGATTGGTGTTAAGGAGGCAGAAAAGCCAATCAACCAGAAAATGACCTCAGATGTAAAATTCTAAATCGGAAGGGACTCAGAGATCAGCTATCTTAGTCCACTTGCTTTACAGATGAAGAAACAGATCCAGAGAGTTTAGATGGCTTGACCGACACCTTGCAACAAATTAAAAGCAGAGTCAGGATTTGAGCCTGTCTCCTGACTCGCTTCATGGTGCAGTCACACCCCAAAGCCACAGTGGAGACCAAACCCTCCATCCAGGATTAGACAGCAGCCAAAGGCCATGCTAAAAACTAGCCTCAGGTCTAAGAGTAACTTCAGAGCACTCTCTTCACATGCTCCCCACCATTTCCCCAGCCAAGTGTCTGTGACTGCAGCTCTTGGAAAAGTAGCCATTATCCTCCCATACCTATATGTACCTACAGGGATATTCCATCCCTCAGGAAGCCAACTTCCTGCAAAGAGCAGGTCCTTAGCAGACGGCAAGCCTGGATTGTGAATGCCCTGTGACCTGCAGGGGTCTTACCCTCACAAGGCGTGAGAGTAACAAGGGTTTAGGCTTCCTTGGTTAGCACCAGTAATGTCCCTGCCATATACTAGCTATGTGACCCTGTCCCCATCTCTTGATCAGGAAATGAATGATAATTACTATTTATTGTACTTACTCAGCATATGTGTGCTAGCTCTGTGGCTACGTGGTTTATTTATTCTTCATAATAACTCTATAGCCTCCAGTCTGCAAATGAGGAAATGGAGCCTCAGAGGGGATCAGGAAAGCATCTAGCCCAAGATCATATGGTGGACAGTAGCTGAGCTAAGACATGAACCTACATCTAAGTCCAGAGTCCTTGCCACTGACACTGGCCTGTAGCCTGTCTGCCTTCCCACCAGACACTCAGCTGCAGGAGGGCAGGGACCAGGGTGGCTGGCTCTTCACAGAAGCTCAGTTCAGTACCTTCAAAATGAATGCATGCCAAGACCCTCATCACCTTCCTCTCCTTTTCTCTCTGAAACTCATTGGCACAAGCATGTATTTTCTCTATTTCCAGGCCCTCTAAATGGCTCTGGATCCTACTTGAAGTTGCTGTTGCTTCCTGCTTCCCCCTTCTATGTTTATTTTTCCTCATTTTTACCATCTCTGTTTCACTGTGAAACCAGGCAAGATGTTCAGAGTTAAGATCATAATGTAATGCTTTTGAGTTTTTAAGCAGGTGAACTCTCTATAAACCAAGTTTTCATTATGGGACAGTGATGTACATCTAACATCGGGGTTTCTTAAAATTCTTTTTGTTTGTTTTCAAAGCTTTTTGATTTAGTGTACAGAGAAGAGACTTTACTTAATGTCATTAAAAGTGTCACTCGCAATGGACGGTCCATCATCCTGACAGCGGTTCTGGCTCTGATCCTCGTTTACCTGTTCTCAATAGTGGGCTATCTTTTCTTCAAGGATGACTTTATCTTGGAAGTAGACAGGCTGCCCAATGAAACAACCATTCCAGGTGGGTTTGGGATCTTCTGATCATTCCAATGTTAAAAGAATATTTCCTGATTATAACTGAACTAAAGAAAATAATGACTTTAGTAATGTAGACATCTCCCCATTGCATTTCCCTAACATGCAGAGTGTGAATTTCAAATACAGGTCTTCATTCTCACTTTACTCAAAGGGCAATGTGGCATATCAGATGCTAAGAGTGAGTGACCAGATCTGACATTAATTTATTCACTAACATCATCTTTTAAACTAGTGCAACCTTTTTGTAAAGCAGTGACCATATCTACTGAAAGGGTTGGAGTATACATCCCTCTAACTTAGTAAATCTACTTCTAGGAATCTATACTTAAAGAAAAAAAGCCTGCTGATTGTGCATGTAAAAACAGACATATATGGGAGGACTTTTGCTGCAGGGTACAGTTGGAAGCAGTCTAAATATTCAGGAGTGTTTCATCAGATCCTGGTACATCCATGAAGTGGGGTGCCTTGCACATAGGTACATCTTTATAACCCTCCATGGAAAAATACCCACAAGACATAACTGGAAGTGGCAGAAGGATAACTATAGTAGGAGCACATGTATGTCTTTTTTTTTTTTTTTTTTTTTTTTAAGAATGTCTTTTTTTTTATTTTTAAGATAGGATCTCACTCTGTCTTCCACACTGAAGTGCAGGAGTTTGATTTCAGGTCACTGCAACCTCCACCTCCCGGGCTCAAGCAATCGTCCCACCCCAGCCTCCCCAGTAGCTGGGACTGCAGGCACCTGTCACCACATGTGGCTTATTGCATTTTTTTGTAGGGCTGGGTTCTTGCCATGTTGCCAAGGCTGGTCTTGAACTCCTGGACTCAAGCGATCCCCCAGCTTTAGCTTCCCAGAGTGCTGGGATTACCGGTACCATGCCCGGTCTTCTTATGTTTTCTTGAAAATTAAAAAACTTATATACATGGATTAAAATATGGATGACTGTGCCTCCAAACTGCTAGCAGTAGCTCTCTCTGGGGCTTTTTTTTTTTTTTTTTTTTTTTTTAAACTATATGCAGGTTTTACAGTGAGCTCGTGTTATTTTTTCACATAGCAAGATTTCCAATTTTGAGAGTTAAAGACCATAATACTTCAGTGATACTCAAGTGTCGTTTTCTCTCAGTTAAAATAGTTGGCCCTACTTAGTGAAATATTACTGGTTTTTCATCAGGTAGCCAGGCAACCCTGAGTCTAAGGAACAGACTAGAATCGTTGTGGCTGATTGCGCCAGCCGCCTTTGTGCTCTCCCTCCCAAATGCTGTGTTCTTGGCATGTATCTCAGGCCTCCCAAGTTGACATTAAGTGACAATACTGCCAGCCATCTTAGAGTTGTGGACTAAACCAGCCTGGACCTTGGATTTCTATTAATGCCTGCTGATGCTTCTCGTGTAGACTTGGTATAAATCTTGCTGGAGTCAGTTCGTTCAGTAGTATCTGTCTAAGAGTTTCAGCTGTTTGTCTTTAAAGTTGGAGAGGTGCTATTTAAGTGCGATATTTCTAGTAAGCCTACAGGAATTGACATTTTTGGCTTTTTTCCCATCCAGATCACCAAAGGAAAGTGTAAATTGCATTTCTGCTTTGAATTTATATGCAAGATTCTAGGGTGTTATTTATGTAAAGAATTGTTTAATCAGCCGTGAATTGGGGACTTCAAACATTTTAACCATATGCTGCCAGATTGTTCATCATAAAATTTCCTTCTCTCTCCCAGAAACTGGCGAGAGTTTGGCAAGTGAGTTCCTGTTCTCCGATGTGTGCAGGGTGGAGACTGGGGAGAACTGTTCCTCTCCTGCACCCAAAGAAGGTAGGACCTCCAAGCTGTAAGCCTCGCGTTCATATCGGACTCCCCAGAGGCTTAGCTGATGCAGGTGATGTGAGAAGCTGATCAGATTTACTGCTCAGGAGTAAGGCTATAGCAAAGCGGAAAGGCTGGGAGAGAGGAGGGAGAGGAAGGGCAAAGAAGGCTACACACCAAGAAAAGATCTGATGTGATTCAGCTGTTTATACTGAGTTATACTGAGGGCCCGCTGCTTGCCAGGGACTATGGTGTCCTTTAAGAGACAGTAATGTAGAGAAGGATGCGGGCAAGCTTGTGATTGCTAGAGAGTATGTCCAATGCTGGGAATAAGGATAGAATACAGAGGATAGGCACTGGCCTACTACTGGGGTAAGCGTATCATCAAGGAGGTGATATCCAAACTATAACAGAAGACTGTTGATATTCTAAGGAGAGGGAATACTATATCTAAAGGCTTAAAGATAAAAAGGAAAAAACAGCAAGTTTGGGGAGATAATGCTTATAAAGAAGGAGGTGAGTAGCAAGAAATGAAGCCACAGATACAAACAAAGGGCTAGACCATGAAGGGTCTTCTGTGTCAGACTTAGGAGGTTAAACTTCATCCAAAGGATGATCAGGGGTGGTTGAAAGATAAGTGATGAGATCTGTGTTTTGGCAAAACCCTTCTGCAGCTGGAGAAAGGAATGAGGCAGACAGCAAGCATGGCTCTTACTGCATAAAGCAGTGAGAATGAACAGTCGTTAAGGCAGTTTATCCAGAGCCCCTGCCGTGAAGTGTCCCTGGATTTAGTCCTCACATTATCCCCAGTGAGGAACCTGGGTCCTGTGGTGTAACTCTCATCTGAGAGATGCCTGTGACTCAGAGTAGAGAAGCACCTCATCTGACGAAAAAGACTGTTTGCAGCTGGGTCTGGGGTTTAAAACCTGGAAAGGACAGGGCATGTTTTAGATCCCACAGAGGGAGAGCAGTAATCCCATAGCTAGAGAAATTAACATGAAAACAGAGTTGCCCAGACCACTTTAGCTTTTGAAAGAAAGTACTTGGCTCTTGATTTATTCTTTCGTGTGCCTGGTGAGATGGCATTCAGGAAACAGGATTTCAAAATCCCGGTCTCTCCTTTCCCCTCACGTTTTCTGTCTGTTATTACTTGCTGTGTTCACAGAGCTGGTCCCTGCAGAAGAAACGGAAGAGGATAAAGAGCACACATGTGAGACGCTGCTGATGTGCATTGTCACTGTACTGAGTCACGGGCTGCGGAGCGGGGGTGGAGTAGGAGATGTGCTCAGGAAGCCGTCCAAGGAGGTAAATTAATCCTGAGGGGAAGGAAGGGCAGAGGGGGTGGGTGGGGTGGGAGCACCATGCAGTGGTGTTGAGTGTAAACTGAAGATGCAGAGGAAGAGCTGGGAGTAGGGCTGAGTAGCTGCGGAACTAGCTTGTCAGGCGTCTTTCCTCCCTATCACATGAGGAGGTGCCACAAAATCAGCTGCATGGAAAGGGGTAGCTTTCACTCTCCGCTGAGTAGACTTAGGGACTTTTCCCGTCAGCATTAGGTCTGATCCAGCTGAACGCACGTCCAAGTTCCCTCCGGGCTGTGTCACACAACAGTTGGAGAATTCACAATTGAGACGGGGGATATGAAAAGAGAGGCAGCTTTGAGTTTAAAAGTTTAACGCCCAATTTAATTTCTGCCCAAGTAGATGAGGTCTCACTTGAGCTGGGCGGACCAAAGGGTTGTGAGGGCCTCAGACTCATTCAGACACCTCTCTTTTCCAGGAACCCCTGTTTGCTGCCAGAGTGATTTATGACCTCTTGTTCTTCTTCATGGTTATCATCATTGTTCTTAACCTGATTTTTGGGGTTATCATTGACACTTTTGCTGACCTGAGAAGTGAAAAGCAGAAAAAGGAAGAGATCTTAAAGACCACGTGCTTTATCTGTGGTGAGTGAAGGCCCAGGTGGCAGACGCACGTGGAGACTGCGAGGGTGTGACGGACTGGGTGTGTGCCCGACTGGGTGTGTGCCCGGTTATGCGGGAAGGGGCACTGGCTGCTTCCTCTTGACTCTCTACCCTCAGCAGTGAGTGAGGTTTTACTTGGCATTTATTCTGCTAGGATGTATTTGCAGACCTGGGTTCTGACTGAGCTTCCACCACTTACTTTGTAACCATCATTTAGTCATTTAACATCTTGAAACCTCCTTTCCTCATCTGTAAAATGGGTACAATAACATGTCCTTCTCTGCATTATTGTGAGAATCAGGAGAGACAGCATATGTAACACTCCTAGCTAGAACCTGGCGCACTGTAGGCATGGGAGGAGAAGTAGTGAACTGCTACGTAAAAGAGGTGCATGGGCACCAAAGAAAAAATGTTCAGTATAACTATGGGAAAATATTTGTAAATGTAAACTAATCATGGAGGAATCCGGGAGCTGAGTAATCGTTTCAGGATTATTCATAATATGAGTACTAAATACATAAATTTCCTAGTGGTATGTATGCTAAAAAAAAATGAGCATTTTCCAATTAAAGACTTAAATTCTTTGCATTTTGCCCCCCCTAAAACCTTTTTAGGCTTTTTGCATTGGCATAATTTCAGAGTTACAGAAAAGGCATGACTGTCCAAAGAATTTCTGCATGCTCTTGACCCAGATTATCCAAATATTAATATTTTATCTCATTTGTTTTACACACAGACACACACACACACACACACACACACACACACACACACACTCTCTCTCTCTCTCTCTCTCTCTCTCTCTCTCTCTCTCTCTCTCTCTTTTTGAATGTGTGTGGCTGACAATGATGCTTTCTAGTCCTTAAACATTTTAGTACACGTTTCCTAAAAACAAGGACATTCTCTTGTTATCTACAGTATCGTTATCAAAATTGGAAAATTAAAACCGATGCAACACTGTTACCTAATCTACAGAGCTTATTCAAATTCCACCCTTCGTTCCAATAACGTCCTTTGCAAACCCCACCTCCTGTGGGGTTTCAGTCACCATGCCTCCTTAGCCTCTGCTGACACTGTTGAAGAATATAGGTCAGTTATTTTGTAGAATGTCCCTTGATTTGGGTTTGTCTGATGTTTGACGATAATGTGGTTTTCCACAGGAATATCAAAAACATGCTGTTGTGTTCTTCTTGTATCATATCAGGAGGCACATAATGCCAGTTCATCTGGTAACTTGTGATCCCGGCTCACTGTAACCTCTACTTCCTGGGTTCAAGCAATTCTCGTGCCTCAACCACCTGAGTAGCTGGGATTACTGGCGCCTACCACCACACCTAGCTGATTTATTGTATTTGAGTAGAGGTGGGATTTCACTGTGTTGCTCAGGCTGGTCTCTAACTCCTGAGCTCAGGCAGTCTGCCCCTCTTGGCCTTCCAAATATGCTAGGATTACAGGTGTGAGCCGCTACACCCAGCTGTGATACTAACATTGTTGATTTGGTTAAGGTGCTAATTACCATGTTTCTCCAGTAACTCCATAAAGTTACTTTTTATGGAGAGATACTTTGACACTTTGTGAACATCATGCTATTCGTTAACCTTTCATTCCTTAACTTTAGCATTCATTGATGATGTCTGACTGAATCTATTATGATGATGGTTGCCCAATGATGACTTTATTTCTACATTTCTTTACTAGCTTTTTACTGTAAGAAAGAATTTTTTCTTCTCTCCACATATGTACGTATATTTCTGTGTTTATATTTGTAACAACATGGACTCATGGATTTTATTTTATTCAATGGGCTGTAATCCTTCACTGTCATTATTTATTTTGATGTTCAAGTTGCTTCAGATATAGCCAGTGAGAGCCCTTTCCAGGTGGCTTCTGGGTTTAGTTATATCATCATCATTTTCTATGTACTTTCTTATGTTTTTGGCATCATAAGATATTCCAGGCTTAGGCTCACCTTGTACATTTCCTGACCCATCCCTGGAATCAGTCATTTCTCCAAAGAGCCCTGGTTCTTTTTATTGGAGAAAGGTATTTAGAAGCCAAAATTTGGGGACTGAGGGTGCTCATTCCTGTTGGTGTGCTGCTGCTCCCAGGGCTTATTAGGATACAGATCTAGAGGAGAGGTGTATGCATCTGCCTATGTGTGAATGTATCTTCACACATCTGTGTCTATATGTATGAAAAAGGATGAATTCATACTGATACTTTTCCTTCCATTTCAGCATTACAGGGTTTATTCTCTCTCTGTGTTCTTTTCTCAGGCAGTGAGGAATCCAGCTCCCATTATCCACAATATATTTATTTGATTAATCCTAGAATACACAGAGACTTGAATTGCTCACCCAGGCTTCTGCAAGTTATAAACCTACCAGCTAGAGTTCAAAATTTGTTTAAAGTTCTTTTTGTCCTTATTCTGTCTCCTCAAGAAACCCTAACATATCTGCATTTTGGCATTTATCTGGGCAAATAGGCCTCATACTCCCTGATTGCCTGCAGTATGTGAGTGTGTCACACACATTCTCATTTTACCCCTAAACACTCCTAGGACCTAGATGGTAGTCTTCCCATTCACTGACAAGGCTGCTAAGACATGTAGAGATGAAGCAGCAACTGCTAGGTGGCAGAGGTGGGATTCAAACCCAAGTCTGTCTGACTCACAGCCTGTTTTCCTGCCATAATGTGAACATGAATGCACTTATAAGGCTGACAGAATCCAACTCTTCATAAAGACAGGAGTGAAACCATAGCGTCCTCTCTACTGACAGTTCTGTCATGGATTTTTTTCTTTACCAAGACTGCTCAGCTGGGGCTGGGGGGCTTTCTGTCTCATTTTCAGGCTTGGAAAGAGACAAGTTTGACAACAAGACAGTCACTTTTGAAGAGCACATCAAGGAAGAACACAACATGTGGCACTATCTGTGCTTCATCGTCCTGGTGAAAGTAAAGGACTCCACCGAATACACCGGGCCCGAGAGTTACGTGGCAGAAATGATCAAGGTGAGTGGGAAGGCCTCCCAGGAGCAAGGTGGACTTGGCCTGGCTTCTCAGCCTTGAGCAAGGCCCCGGCAGCCCATGGGGGAGCTCAGCAGAAAAATAACCTCCGATGTTGCCTGAGCCCTTCTCACAGATGAGGCGCTATGCTCTGTGAACTTCGTGTGTTCTTTTGAGTGATCCTCAGAGCCATGAGGCAGGTGGTATTTGCTTGTGTTAATGGGGGAAATGTTGAGCTTCAGTGAGATTAGCACATGACCATGGAACTGGGCCTGGGATTCTAATCTGGATCAGACTCCACAGCCCAATTTCCGATCCCTGTATTAATCTGCCTCTTTTCTCGATAATGCTTTTCCTCCCCGCTTCTTTTTGAATAACACTCAGTTTCTAAGAGGTGTCTGAGAGGCAAAGTGATTGCTCACTGTAGTTCAGCATGGTTTGTGTTTGCTCTCAGCCTCGCCTTTCTGGGAGACACTCTGCTAATCATTAGGTGGTGATCATATGATGGAGGAATTTGAGTCCCAAATTAATCTTCATGCTGATGGGAAGTGTGGACCTCATGTCCCTGGAGGCAGGGAAGCTGCTTCAGGCTGTTAGAGTCTCTTCTTGGTCAGGGCTTTGCAGAGGCACCAAACATGCGCTGTGGGTGTCCCGGGCCAGCTGTCCTTTCAGACCTGTGCTTTCTGAACACCATTAAAATGTTCAGGGGTGGTGGATGGTGGAGTGAGAAGCATGAACTGTGAAATCGGGGGAGTCTTTGTGATTCACACCGCCTCCCTCTGAGGAGAAGGGGCCAACTCTCCTTCCAGTTATCAAGGACTTGCGTACTCTGCCTGATAATGACTTACGCTAAAGGAGCCTGCTTTTTATGCAGATGTAATTTTTAAGCTTTTTATGTAAAGATACTGGAAGTCAGGTCTGTTCAGATAAGTATCATTATTGACAGGCCTAGAGGCAGCCAGGCTTTCAGTTTTATTGCTGGCAGGTCAGTGGTTGCATGGTTGTATTTCCTGAATACCCGGATTACACAGGCACAGAGGCCTCTCCTAGGCTGTGGAGGGCTTTCTGGAGAGACTGTGCTGCCTGTACCCTTGAGGTCCTTAGAGTCAAATTCTGTGCTTCTCAAATTTTGATGTACATATGAATCATCTGGAGGGCTTGTTAAAATTCAAATTCTGACTCAGCAGTCACTGCCAGGACTTTAGATATTCTGCATTTCCAGCAGCCTTCCAGGAGATGCAGAATCTGCTGGTCCAGGGATCACCCTTTAAGTAGTAAGAGCCTAACAGAGGAGACAAAACAGATGCCCACTTAAGATGACTCTCCAGACAGGTTGTGTGAATGATGAGGAGAGGTATTCCCAAACCTTTACATGTATTTGGCCCTCTTTGGTTTGTAAAGTCCTTCCACCTCTAGTATTGTATCTGTCATTAAAGTTATCCTCCATGGGGAACCCGGAGGAAGGGACTTCTAGGATGGGGAGGGATGGATGGAGGCTCACAACAGAGGTAACTTTTGAAAAAGGTTTTGAAAGAGCGGACGAAGTGACGAGTGTTATCAATTAGCAAAAAGAAAGGAGAAAAACATCAGCACAGAGCGGGGAGAAAAAGACACAGGTTGCAGAATGAGAATTATGGGTTATCCCTTTTACAGATAAAACAGGTGGGGGGTTAAGCAACTTCATAGGAGCAGCTCAGAAGGAACTGAGCCAGAATTCAAACCAGGCTTGGCTGACTGTAGAAATCGCACTCCATAATCATGTTGTTAGGAAACTGGGAGGCTGCTGGTGATTCTGGGAGCAGACTCCTATTTTTAAGCAGATTAAGGATTCTGATGAGTGCCAGTATGGATTTCCACAGGTGAGGTTTCCAGGGTCAGGACACATTAACTGAAAAGTCCTTAGTTTCTTTCTTTTCCTCCAGCTGTTGACACTGGCAAATTAAACCCTACTCGATCAGCATTTATACAGACAGACCCATCCACATGCACAGATAGTGACCTTCATTTGCATTTGCTGTCTTAACGTCAAGAGGAGGCCTGTACCGTTCACCCTTGACTTATGTTCGTTCCTTTTCTCCCCTAAGTTTGTTCTCTTGTATCTAAAGTGTTTGAACGGGCCCTCTCTTGAAATCTTCCAGGGGCCAGTTTTGAGGTTTTCTGTTAATCACCTTACTGTCCAGTCACAGAAAACTCTGGCACACTTTGGGGTTTCTGTCTCAATCGTGGAGACTTAAAGGCGTCTTGTGAGCAGTCACTTGATGAGGATTAAGAGTCAGAGTGACCTGTAGTCCGCCACCCACCCAACCCGGTCAGAGCTCGCTGCGTGGCAATACTGTGAGAACCTGGGCCTTTGGTGTGCTTTCCCCATCCACATCATTCTTTGATTATATGAGACGTCTTGTCAGAAAACCTAAAAATCTACAGCATCAAAGAATTCTTCTCTGAATGCTAAAGCAGCTGCGGAACCAGGTGTTCTGTGCACTAAGTGGTGGCTCAGTGTCAGATCTACCAGCTCAATGGCGGTGCCTTCTCATTTCTGCTATTTGCTGTGGTGTTTGGTCTTGAAACCATGTGAATCCCTGCCGGGGACTCCTAAGGGCGCATTAGCTCCCTCAGGGTAGCAGCTGGGGTGCTCAGCTGAGTCATTTGGTGGGGGGAGGGGGAGCCTGGGGCCCCTTGGGACCTCAGAGCTGCAGTACAGAGGCTACAAGACCACCTGCGGGCCCCACTTAGTCACCCCCTGTGGAGGCAGCCACAGCTGAGGCAAGGCCCCCACAAGCCTTCCCCCTAAGGCGGGGAGGCATCCTAACCACTGGTGCTGGGGGGTGGAAATCAGTAATCTCTTTGATAAGCCAACCCCAGGAGGCCGCACCTACTCCAGTGTGGAGGACAGAGAAGCGACAGCTGATGGTCAGTGGCAGAGATGGAAGGAAAAGCAGGCTGCAGGGCTCACTGCCCTCTTGCTTACCTTATGCTTTTGAGACAGGCTCTTTTAGGGTATGTGGTCCCTAGGAAAATCACCTCTTGCCTAATTGCAGAAGGCTGGGGATGTTGGATTCTTCTTCAGCTCTCCTTTAGCCCGTGGATGAAGATCCCAGAGACTCCTAGAGACTTGTGGAGTGGCACCTGCCAAAGGTAACCCAACAGAACCAATGGAAAAGGCCTCAGATAGTGCTTGGGCAGGGGTGGAGCCCAGCTGCCCTGAGAGCAACTCCCTGCAGACAGCAGCATCAGGGATGGTAAACGGGTTTTCATCTCAACCCACAGCTAGGTCATAGAATATACCTGGGGCACTCTATTGAGAGGGGTTCTTGGAAACCCAGGCTGGAGAGAATGACATTTGATGAGTCATGAAGGAAAGAGCTGTCTGTGTGCGAAGTCATGGCCCGCCCTGCCTAGACCCATGTCCCAAAGGTGCATTCCCTCCATCGGTGGCTGCCCAGTCATGTAAAAACACAGCAGCCTGGCTGGACCAGACACTTCACCTTTCCTAATTCCTGCTGAAACTGGCCTGCAGACAAGGGGACAGGGCCTCTTCTCTCTGTGGATAGAAACAGTTCACTTCTTGTCATCTCTGGAGAGAGGGAAAGAGGGAACATGCGAAGAGTCTCTGACTTAAGTTGAGAACTCTGCAACCAGCTGTTCATCACAAGTTAATCTTGTTTGAAAGTAATAGATCGTGTTATTTTCCTCTCCCCTTCTGGTCTTTCTCTCTCTCCTTTCACTGGAGATGGGAGTATCCCCATCAAAGCTGGGGCCAGGTGATGTCTGTCATGAAGTCCTCACTACCCAAGAAGTGGAGGCAGCAGATCCAAGGTGAGAGTTTCCGCTCTGCACCTTCCCTCGCCGTGTGACCCCGGGCAAGTCACAGGACTTTGCTGACCTGGGTTTCCTGTCTGTACATCACGGTTCATACCACCTCACACATCCGCTGGGTGGTAGACGTGAGATAAATGCGAGCTGGCAGGTGGGAGGGACGCGTGGAGGGGGGGAGCAGGTAACAGAACAACTGAGCAGTGGGCCCAGAGCACACCAGCCAGGAAGCAGGGGCTGCAGGCTGGCAGCAGAGCTGACAGAAGCATCGTTTCCTATGGTTCTAAGACTCTGCGAAACACCTTGGCTGTGGGCACGCCGACACTAAGAAAAGTCAGAGTGGGCATCTTGACTCTAAGTACTTCCTTCCCTGGAAAATCCCTATGTCTTCTCTCTTGAACTTTAAATCTTTAAGCGTCCTTAAAAGTTGAGGCAGGGCATGGTTGACATTAGTGTTCTTTTCTCTGTTGAATCGGGCACAGACACTTGTGAATTCCATCCATGTCTACAGTGTTTTCCTCCACTTGCTTTTACTGCCCAGAAGTAGAGCTTTCATTGATTTGGGGAGTGGACCCCGAGTTCTGTGTATTCAAGGCAAGCCTTAGATTAGATAATGAAATCATTCATGGTTCACTGGTAGATTTGTCCTTCAACTCGAGCACCTGATGGAAGGTGATACTGTCACCCAAATGACCAGGGGAAGCGAACCCTCCTCCACTGTAACTCACAGTGCCACTCAGTCCCTGAGATGCAGTCTCATATTTGTTGACTTAGGACCCAGGCAAGTCTATGCTTTCAGAGAAACGTGACTGTGGGGTGACCAGACATAGCCCTTGGCAGATAAAGGGAAGCGGGTGGGAAAAATAACTCCTTTCCCTGCAGGAACCTGAATTTTGGTGCCATCATAATTTTGGTGATACCCTTTTTTAATAAGCAAATTTTTATTAACCTTGATCTGCATTTAAGTTTTCACAATAATTTATGTGCTACACACCCTTTTTTGAATAATTTTAGCACTGTGTGGCTTTGCTCTAGTGCCAACTAAACTGAGAATTTGTGTTAGTCTATAGATGATGATTTGAAGGGCCATTATGGGAGCTATTTAATTGGAGTTAAGTGGTGAATTCATTATGAGCACTTTGCCTGAGCGAATTTAGATAGTGCACCCTGGGCGTGTTGTAGGTAAAAGACCA